CTCGTGCGATCAAAGTACGCCGACATCAAACCAGTCATTATTATCCACGTGGGGTCATTAAGCCACGAGGTTTGATTAGGGTGAGAATTGGGGATAATTTTCACAGATATTCGGTGTTTTTGAGTATCGATTTCAGGCTAATCTATGTACGCCATTGTTAGCCAACTTTTGAACCCCTAAATATCGACGGGGGAAAAATTAGCGGGAATAGTGAGTAGTTATTATAAGACAATGGTCTATTCTTAATCAGACTTGCATTATACCCCATCTACATGCTTATTTTATCAAATAAAACGAACCGACAATATAATTTAAGATATTTTAACATGATAATTTGGATATGAATACTCTCATTATAGCGGACTTTTGTCGGTTTATTATAGACTGAATTAATTTCACGTTGAGAACCAACATAAGCTTTCGGTTGATGGATAAATTTTGTAACACATTAAAAATTCAGCGTTTCATCTAACAAGATATATTTCCATGAAAACAATACAATAGAATTCAGTTGTATAAATTTTTCTCATCATGAACTAAATTGTTAAAAAATTTGAATCATAATTAAAAAAACAACAAAAAAAAACAAACAGTAAATATTATCCAAACTTAAACATGCATTATGCAAGAACTATATCTGCCTATTGCAGGTCTTTTTATGGGCCTGAAATGTTATTTTAATTCAAGACCATTAATCAACTCTCGGTGCCATAGTTATCCTACGCCTACGATATTTAGTGGATTTGAATACCTTTTTATGACGGATGATTTAAAGTAAAAATGGATAACCAAGTCTTTGTTTATTATCGCACCGACAGTCGTAATGACGTTCGAGACTAGCCTAAAATTGAATCGCTAATATCTGGGATTCAGAGTAAAGTAATTTGACTGAAATTTTCTGCATATTATATTTTTTAACTATTATAGCGAGAACTGTCAGCTCTTTATCTAATCTTCCATAATGCCCCCTAAATCCCCCTTTCTCATTGAATTATTTATTTTTCAGCAGGAATTCTGGTAGACTCAACTATTATTTTTAGATTAAGATTTTAGAGGAACTTTTATTTTGTAAGGGGAATTAGACATCTATCCATACTAATCATTTCTTAATAATTTGAATATGAATACTCGCTCTGGCTATTATTGAACTTTATAAGTTTATTAATGACTAAATTAATTTCACTTAGAGGACAAACAAGGTTTGGTAGATTTGGAAGTTTGGCTACTCGTTATCATAACATTCCATACAATTTTTGAAAACAAAACCTGTGGAAATTGTCAATATAAACAAATGAACAGCTTTTCAAATTGCACTAAAATCTGTTAGGATTTATCATTTTTAGACCGAAAATCTGGCCGAATCAAACCCCTTTATTTTCACAATCAACCTAAACGAAAAAAAAAATTTTGTTTCGAAAACATTTTTTTTTTTTATCTTTTTCATGTTTTTATGTCAATATGTCTATATTTTAATTTTCAAGCAATACCATTTCTGTAAATGTATACTGCTTAATAAATGTAAATCAATGTATGTCATCAATTTAAATATTATTATAAATAATTTTAATGTCAGACGAAAACAATTAAGAAACATTTAAACAAAAATTTAGGGAATCGTTTTTCCCACGGAAAATCGGCGAACATTGTCAATAGCAATTAATCAATAATCAGAAAGTCGTACGTTTAATTGTTTTAAGGTGTTTAGATTTAAATGGCGACGACGCCAAGGTTGTTACGGCTGTCTTCTGACCGAGATTATGTTATTAGCGTGTACCTACCATTACTTATTGCCTATTTACGAATAGACATCAAAGGAGATCCGCCCATTCACGCACAATTAAAACTAGTGGAGCCATCTTGGATCAATATTATGATTTAAAGTGTAAATGAATGTAAACAAGAGTAGAACTAACAATAGATAAGGCAAAAGGTGTAAATTTGTTGTGATAGAAATCTGTGGTCTAAACAGATTCAATCAGACATAACAAGAAAAAAAATTCTCGTGGATTTTGTTACGTGCATTCTCCCATGACGTGTCTTCTTTTATAAGTAATTCAAACTTTAACCTCGATATCAAATCAAATTTAAAAGAAAAACATACCAGTTGGTCTTACCCTGTGATATTACCCTGGATGGAAATTGATGTAATATCCACATAATTAGACAGTCCGATATTAATTTGTAAAATTGACTCTAAAAGCAATGAAATGAAATGGGGTTTAACGTCCTACTGTTCGGCTCCTAACCTGGGCTAATGAAGACGGGCATACGCCATACAGTATGCTATAAGGGTAATTGCCAAGTGATCTTTTACGTGCACGCCAATGTATACACGGGACCTCGGTTTTTCCCGAACGACTAGACAGCTGTCCTTGTCAGGCCCTCCATCCTGCATCACTGACAAGGGGAAACCACGCCGGAAAGACTCTAAAAGCGGTCTTACAATCGTATTAAGTGAATAGTCATAACCCGCAAATGTTTACTCTAAAAGCGGTGTTACAATCGAATTAAATAAATAGTCACAATCTGTTCGATTTGAACAAGTTTTGGAATAAAACTTCTACTGGTGTGTTTGTTAATTGTGAGGGGAGGGGGGCATGAGCAAAATATGATCTTTGGTCAACTGACGAGGTAATGGTGAAGGTCTAAAAGCACAAATTTTCCACACCCTCCTCTACCCAATCCTCATTCCCCAACCGAAATGTATCTTTTAGTTAGGAAATTAAAAAATAAGTTTAAATTGACACGAGTCCTGTTATACTTCATTTTGAAACTCAGTACAAATATTTACAATGATACCCAAGTCGTTCAATAAACATTCACTTCCCTTTCAACGAAACATATCCTTTCCCGCCAAATTTTGTTTCTGTCTCGTGCCTGAGATCGTGTTTCGAATTAAGATGGTGCGTGCTCCTGTGTGGTTTCACGAGGATCATATCCCATATGGGCGATAACATCTAACAGCCATTGAAAGATGGTCTTCTTTCACTACGGTAAACTAAAAGTTAACAAAACAAAAAACATCCTTATAAATATATTATACCTATATAGAATCCATGTAATTTCTGTGATCTTTTGGAAAACATTTTAAAATGAAATTTGAATTATTAAAGGGAGGGAGTGATCTTATGATCTACAGCACACCACGTTAAACCACTCGCCAACAAACAACCATCGAATTAAGACCTACCGAGTCCCGACAAGCGATCACAATCAGGATTCTTTATTCCTTAGTTACAGAGGAGGTTTTTCTTTCTCGTTTTTTCGTAATATTATTACCCAACATCTCCAAATTACATGCATAATGTGGCGGGGTAGATTGGTCAAAATTCGTGCACAATACAATAATATCTGAAACAATCACTATTATCAATGTCAATTTTACCCCCAAAAAAGTAAAAACAAAATGGACACGATTTTTGGAATTTCAGGAATAAAATATGGCAAAACGTGTGATCAATCAGACAGAACAATTTATTTGAAATTCTTGAGTTGTGAGAGATTGTCATATAAAGCAAGGTTCCCACACCGTGTTGTAATCTTATCCCAAAATAAATTTCAAGTTATTTTTAAACGACAGATGATTTCAGAGAAAACTTATCAGTCCATCTGCTTAACAAATAACTATTTTAGTTTCCCACGACTAAAGAGCCGCGTATATGGGCGACAATTGACATTGCATTACTTTTTGTCTCGATTGCTTAGACACTTATTATAAAGACTTTAAAGAGGATATGCATTAGAGTTGCGGGACTGAAGGCTATTTGCATTTCTAGACTAAGCTTTATTGAACAAAATTATTTGATTTTACGACAATAGACACAATTACTTTACCGTGAAATCTTATGTCTGGGTTATTAAAGAGTAAATCTTTCCTGACGCTCCACTCGAGATGTTTGTTAAACTTATTATAGAGCGATTATGTAAGACTGTCAACACGTCGAGGCGGTTTTATAATGTCAACTCATAGCCTGGTCTAAAATCAACATTACACCAATTCTGACATAATAGACCTGCTTTAGAATGTCTTCATTCAATAAAATGGGGTTTAATTTTTCTTCTCTGCACCAACTGGACTAATGAAAACGGGCATCATTTCAATAAATATGCGTATTAGCATATGCAAAGTCAATTAGTTAGGTAAGTACCCTGGCCCAATTTAAAAGAAAAATTAAGTATTTATTATATTATAGACTAAATTAATGTGTCTTGCATTCTGTTAATTTTCCGATAGAAAAACAACTTTTGGACAAAGGCCCCCACCCCGACCCCCTAGACCGAGCTAATTGCTACCAGGTAAAAACAAATTTATGCAATTCTCAGATATCGTCATCCATACTTATATACAAGTGCATTTCAGAAAAAAAAAAAAAAACTCTTTTTTTTTTTTTTTTTTTGATCCAATATACATTGTGTCAATTACATATAGATTACTATCTCAATCTTTTGTCCGCTAAGTTTGTCACGATGTTGTGTATAAAGACCAACCTAGTTTTTTTTTTGTTTTTTTTAAAAAGCAACATTAAATATGGTAAACACAATAAAAGAACAGCGATGTTTAGAAAACCATCGATGCATGAAAATTGAATATCATTACTACATACTGTATTTTAATAAACAGGTCTTATACCTATCGCTTTTCATTTCGATAGAATACATTAAATGTATTTTTGTCTTAGGGGTTTTTGTGCGATCGTGTATCACAAAGGTTGTTTTTTGTGAAGGAATGTTTAATTAGTTTCTGGTGGCTACCTAGGGCAACTGGGCCGTGAAAAATAGAAGATTTTAACCAAGTTTTCCCACACTGCGATCCCCTCGTCCCCAGACACGTGTTTGTGTTTACTGGGCTTTACATTCCACTCGACTTTACACAAGTCACAAGGAACATCTGCTCGGTAGCCAATCAGCGTCCACTTGTCGCATGCCGATACAAACTCCCGCGATAATCCTCGCCGCCGATTGGTCGAAATTCCTTTACTGACCGTGGGAATGTGCGATCTTTCGCCTTCACACATAAAGTTTATGGCGTGTGCTGGACCGTATAAAATCTCAACAAGTTGTTGAAATTGACAGACTTCTTCTAAACTTTGAACAGTAAACATCGCCTAGCTTTTTAAAACATTAAGAATGACTGAAAGTATGACAACACCGACTCGACCGGGTCCTTATAATCGAAGGGTAAGTCAACTAAATTTTTAGATTGTGACAATAATGTTTCATATTTCAGTGACAGTAATGTAATTACGTAACAGTATATTTTAAAACTTAAAGTGAATTGTTCGCTGTCTTCTTTATTTTTACTATTTTTTTCTCTTTTTTAACAGACAAACAAACCACTTGTTGAGAAAAGACGAAGAGCTAGAATAAATGATTGTCTTGGAGAATTAAAGACATTAGTATTACAAGCCATGAAACAAGATGTAAGTATATATATTCTGTGTATATTTTGATAATTAATTTATCACATATTTTACATACGTACTACACCATTTTATATTTTTCTACTTTCATTTTAAGATGAAATTGTTAGTTTAATGGTTGTATATTTGAATTAAACTTAATTGATATTTGTTTATTTATAATATTGAGATTTACTTCATAAATCTTATGGTATTTTTTCTGTATTTTTTCAGAGTGCTCAAATATCCCGTTTAGAAAAAGCCGATATATTAGAAATGACCGTCAAGTATTTACATCACGTACAAAGGCAACAGCCGACATCTTCTATGGTGAACACCCCACAGAGTGCCGCCAAATATCGTGCTGGTTTCACAGAATGCGCTAGTGAAGTTATGAGATATATGTCCAATATACAAGGAGTTAACCCAGAAGTTAGCACAAAACTCACTGGTCACTTAGCTGGATGCCTTTCAATGGTGAACTCAGCCACCCAGATGGCTCACGTCAGACCCCGAGAGATGACCACCACCACTACAGTAGTCCCTCCATCAACACCATCCCCGGTTAAAACAGATATCTATAACCGACCCCTCCAAATCCAGATTCCTGATAATAAGTTAAAAGTGTCACGTGACTGTAAACAACAAACAGGACATGCTATGTTGTTGATGCCGATCAACCCTCAGTTACAACCTCTTAAAAGTGTCACCTCGGAGCCTCATGTTGTGTCACCTGTACGTCATGTGTCTTCCAGCTTTTCTTACAATGGACTTAAAAACATCACAAACACTTATGTGTCTCCTTCACCAAACAGTCTGACAACAGATGTGAAGAAACAGCGACTCTCATTCTCCCCGGATAGTCGCTCACCTTCCGGATCTCCTCATAGCACCCACAGTTTAGCACCAAAGCACCTGTACGATCCCATCAGCCCCGTGTATTCACCACCACAGTGTTCATTCCAAGAGGAAAAGTTATGGCGTCCCTGGTAACCGAGTAACATCGGCACCATAACAAACATTAAGAAATCCATTATACGTGTCATCCATAAACTTTTACATCGATGTGATATACAGTGTCATAATAGTAACTCATAATCCATGTCTCGGAATAGAAAAGCAACGACTATACAGAAAAACAGTGTTTAACACCCGAACTCACCGAATGATGCATTATAACGCATTGTATCACGATTCGCCATATTGTGTGACGCGGGTGAGAAAAACAAATTTATTGGGATAAACACACACTGTGTTTAACACCCGAACACGCATAATTATATAACGATCCGCCATATTATGTGAGTCGGGTGAGAAAAACAAACCCGAATTCATTTTAAATTTTGCATGTTTTTTTTTAACATGTGGATACCAGAACTGTGTGAAAACTCGATTAAATCTGCCAAACTTTTTTTTATTGTGATAAATCATGAAACAAGTGCTCTTTTTTATACATATATATTTTTTTATGTTTTTGATACATTAAATTTCTTAAATCTTTTATATATGAATTGTTGGTTTGTAACAAATAATGTACTTGGGTGAAATGTGGGACATTTTGACCAAATAGGTTTTTAACCCTAATATAACCAGTTTATAGCCGAAAAGACCGTCAACCATTTAAGGCATGTAGAAAACGACTACTGGGTTACCAATCTTTGCTCTGCCCCTGGGTATCACTGGTTATGAGCCCTCCCCACCCCCAGCTCCCTTGCCAGCTGTTTACCTCAATATATTTATTATGCCCTCGAGAGAGAACCCCGCCCCACCCCTGTACTTGGAGAGAACTATAGAATATATCTGATTGTCATTGGGACACAAAGCTTTGTTAGAATCGGGAATCACCGTGTTGTATTAGAACATGCATAGGCTTACGTCAGTGACTTGGCATAATCGGGAATCACCGTGTCGTATCAGAACTTGACATAATGGAACGCCTTTCAGTTGGAGAGGAAGAGGTCAGATGTGGCGAGGGACGGAGTTGTTGGTTGAATGAGATCTAATATTCAATGCTTCTGGTATTATCAGAATTGAGATCAATCTTAAAAACTGTTGTATGGTTTGAGAGCTGTGGAAGGTCTAATTATATATTACCCCAACACCCTTCATTTCGTTTCTTCATAGAAAATACATATTTCTAAAACTTATTTTTATTCCAAAGTTATCAGAAGACGAAATTAAACCAGACACACTGTTTCAATCCTTCTAGATCCTTATTATGGCTCGCTTTTATTGAATCCTCGAGATATCTTGGAAAACCCCAAACAATAGCCCAAATTTGTTTCTTTTCTCATAGTTTTGATTTTTATTGAACGTGTTTAATAATATATAAGATCATCCGATGAACGCGAGTCCTAGATTGAAAGAAAAATAAATTCCCATGGTACGGTTAATGTCAGTTTGCCATATGGCGCACACAAGTTAACAAGGGGGAGTAAATACCTATACATAAAGAACAGTTTTATTTTTTACAATCCCAGACTCTCAAATACAGTTAGAGGGAGGAGTTTTCCCACAACGTCACGTCGACAAAGATTATGGCTTTGGCACGCGCTACTATTCTCTTTTACCACTTGTAGCGCGTGATTGACATTCGGGGCACTCGAGTGTTGCGACATTTGACCCCTCTTGACTTTCCACCAATCATCGGCGAGGGATTTCAACCCCTTGAGCGCGCGCACGCGATTTGTTTTGGCAAGGGATTGTGAGCCCGTGGGAAAAGAGGGAAGAGAATAAAAAAAACCTATATAAATAAGCTGTGGGTATTATACCAGCTACTTGACAGTCGTGTCATATTACTATAGAAAATTGTATAGAGATTATTATGACTCATCTAATCATATCTAACAGATCTAGCCCTATACACAAAATATACCCCCGTGTGCACCAGAGCTTACCAACGGTATTTAAGATTTAAATATAATTTGAAAGCTAACTGTCTTTATTATCACAAAAGAAATTCACAATATGTCTTGTAAACTTCATTTGGCATGGGAAAAGTTGGTATCATAATTCATGTATGTTCCAGAAAGACAATGACCTGCATTTTGACTACAAGTAGAAGAGAGAGTCCATATATTTCCCAAATGAAAAGTAACCTTTACTTTAATAACATATGAACTTAAGCCAAATACACTTTTCAGAAAATGGTGTCCAACGGGGGCATGGTCTGTGGAAAAACTCAAGTAATATTTATTTTGCATAAAGCCAAATAACGGTAAATACGTTTTTGAAGCTTACCAAAAACTACATTTAGACATTTAGTGATTATAGCTGGAACCTATTTCATTATAAAATAAATATCAAAACTTCACTAATTAAATAAAACAGACAATTTATTTAATAGAGTCAGCATTTATCAGGAACTATAACTCTAGACGTATCACATGTCGTAAATCGATGCTCGTTATCAGCACGTGCAACCGATTAGACAGTGATTCCACACCATCTTGACACGTGACATGGCAAGAAATACATCATGCACGCAAGCTACCATGTATTGGAATGTCGTTTAATGAAAAATGTCCGTAATTGCTCTCAACTGACGCTTTCAATATCTTTTGTCTAACTGCCATCTTCAAACAAATACTGATGGCAACCATGCGTATGACACTAGCGTCATCGATTTTCCATGTGCCTGTTTATTAGGCACGTGACGGTCGTCTGCGGCTCGAGTGTGGTCAATCTGACGATAAAATATGTAAAGAGGTTGAAAGGTTACAATTTGATTCTTTAAAAGATATCTGTCAAAGCCAAGTATCCGGAACGGTTGTCTTAAGAGACATCTTGGCAGATAAGGGATATATAAATATACGTGTTATGTAAATAAACCCCCAAAACTAGTACATACAGTGGCGTAAAGAGGGGGGGGGTGGCCCCGGGCGCCCATTTCCACCCATTTCCGGAGGGCATCCAGGCCCTGTCAATAACAATGCTTTTCCAGGGTGACTGGGGTCATGGAGGATGAGTCAATCTTGTGGTCAGCATGGTTACCTAATGCCACTTATCCTTTTTTTTGTTGAGTGCCAAGTGTGAAATGAAAATTATTTTTTTTGAATTTTAAAATGAACGCTGTTAATTTTGGTAGACAAGCTGCACTACATGATGTGAATAATCTGCTTTTACATATTTGTCATGTCTGCCTCACTCACATTTCCGAGTACATGTACGTGCCCTACCTATGCTTTAGTTAGCCCCAACCTCTGTACGCCACTGAGTAGATAATGCCTGGGTGTGAGGCACATCAAAGACTGTACAATAAGGAGACGAATTGTGTGGATAGGGGTCAATATAAAGTATAAAAGTTACATAATATGTGCATTTGAGATAGTTTTTTTCGAAATTTATGAAAAACAAATGTATGTATTGTCAGCGACCAGCGTACGTGAAAACTAGAAGTGCCTATAGCGACCCACCCCCTTCCGCGAATATATAATAGTAACAACCACTGGTTATGATCCAGTGCCTCATCCGTGTATTCTCCGTAAAAATATTTAGGCTTATACCTGAAGCCTATCATTGATTCGGTTCGGATTGAAAAAAAATTAGTCGAATACAAAAAAAAACAAAAACAAAAAAAATATATATATATTACCAGGCCACTGTCTAAAACCCCGCAACAGATATTTTGTCCGAGTATGAAATGATGTGACATGGAATTTAACGTTCTACTTTTCTCCACCAACCGGACAAAAGAGGTAAATTTTGTCCGGACTGCTGTTACGGGTTCTTTTACATGAGCGCCGATGTGTACACGGGACGTCGATTTTCTTCCTATCCTAACGACTAGACACAGTTCCTTGCAAGGCTATCCATGTAGACAAGTGGTCGGTTGAAGGCTGCGTTAGTCCAGAGCTAAGGGAACTTATCTCGAATTCCGGCGTGGGTCAAGAAGAATCTCGTGAATTTTCACGCCCGATCTCGGCGGTATAGCGCTTGCGGGACTGAAAAATAAGGTGTTGCCTAGACATTCGGATAAGACAAAAACAACTAGGCCCACCCGTGAAAACATCGTCCGCGCAAAATCACCTTCCTTGCATAGCAAACGCTACCATAGAAACAAAAACAGTATGTTAGTCTCAAGATTACCCAATCCAGTTAACGCCACACATGGAGCTAATTACGGAAATTTTGACAGGACAGCGACGTTCCCCCTACTCTGGATGAAATTCCAATACACGGGGTATCGGTTTTTCGTCCCATCGGAAGGACTCGTCGCTGACACGCAGTAGTGACAAATAGGTGAAATCAGACTGGAAAATCTGGAGGACTCCCTGTTAGTGAACAAGCGCCATACCCACTCAACCATCGCGGTTGCTTGATTCTTATGGTTACAATTTATAATTTTGTCATCTGAACACACCATCTTTGGTAGGACTACAATGTGATTAAAACCATAGGCGTACGGGGAAATTTTTGACCGGGGGGGGGGGGGGGGGGGCGGTGGTGGTTGGTGCCCAAAAAATGTAGTTAGGTTCTTAGTATGTTACATAATAATAATATATTCGCTGTTAAAATGGACACATTCAAGAAGACAATATTTTTTTTATACAACTTTTACAAAGTACAGTTGTGTGCCCAAATTTTCAAAGCATTTGGTGCCCAAAATGGGGGGGGGGGTGCGGCCGCCCCCCCCCCCCCCCGCCCCCCCAGCTCGTACGCCTATAGTTCAAAATTTCGTTTTTACTAGTGTAGGCCATCGAAAGTATAAAAAACAAAACGAGATATAGATCTATATTTTAATTAGATTGTCTTTGGTAAGACAGAAAACTGTTGACCATTCGAAGACTTTCGGTATTTGGTGCTAAATATGGTATGAATTTATGGGTATATCAGAAAAATATCTAATGTTTATGGAAATTATTTATTGTTGCTCTATCCACCCTTATTTATTTTCTGCATATTACAGTTATTTATTCTGTATTAACCTAAAACAAATATCCATCACTTGTCAGCAGATATTCGCTGACATCTTTCCACGAGTTATAGCGATAATATCAAATCAAAGTTTGGTTCTAATGTGGTTTATACCTTATCAGACTTGACTAATCAAGTCACATAGAATTCCAATTAGGTATATTTAACGCATTCCCAGTTGTAAATACGGGGACTGGGTTTTCCGTGCCACCTTAAAGGTCCATGGAAATACCAGAGAGCTTTCTTGGCCAGCATGTAGTTGGAGCTTTATACCCCAACCGATTGATTCAAAAGGTGTCCATATGTAATATTAGCATATAAAAACAATATTTACAAACGTCTTGCCACTGCAGTATTGTTGAGATATTTGAAACCTGAATATAGGTATATTGGTTTATTAAAATAACGTATACTGAGCGAGTATGTATACAGTCGTGTCGGCTGATACAGCGATATGGGTCGTATTATTGTAACTGGACACTAAGCCCGGTTTAAAAGAAAGAGTACGACATCGCTTTGCTCGGACACGTTTTTATCGTTAAAGTTTCCAGTTTCAATCCGTTTTCAAATTGTCTCTAATTTACCTAAGGAAACTCCCTCTCTGACGCCGGTGATTGGCGCGGAATATATATTCCCAGCCTCTGGACAAGATTTGACTGAGGTTTGTGTTATGGAACGCCTTTCTTAAAAAACACAATTATAATTAGGAGCATAATATTTGAAGAAATAAAAAAAATCGAGAACAGATAAATTAGATTTTTTGTTGGGCCTATGTACATTTGACGCGGGTTGACTAGTATAGGGATATGTATGAACTATGAAGGACAATCTCTGTGCCCTCATTCGGTCCACGATCGCGGGTCCCATTTATACTCCTGATTGTTGCATTCGATAGAGCCCCTTTTATACCCAACAGGACTACTTGGGTAATTTTGACTTTGGTATAAACCCCACTGGTAGACATCCATTTGTTTATTGTACCACCAGGTCGCCAGGAAATACGAGATCATTCATACATTAGTGGCTGTCTTTAAAATGGACTGACTCTGATTCATTCGTACCTTGATTGTAGTTTGAAACTTTCGTTCTAATGGCTGTCGCCCTGGATTAAAGGGGTGGGCTGAAGCCCAGTGCCCCAATTATTTGTATTTCTCAATCTGGGGCCTGTTTCACGAAATCTTAACTAAGATAAAATCCAAATTTTAGTAATTTGATTGGATAATATTAGATTGATTTTAGTGCTTAGCCAATCAAAATTGAAGTATCTACTAAAATTTGGATTTTATCTTTAATTAAGATTTCGAGAAACAGGGCCCAGATTAAATTACAGATCTATATTTCGTTTCGCTTTTTTTTTTTTATACTTTTCGACGGCCTGCATTCCATGAAGATCTGACAAGTTGTACTGGAAGGTCGTGTCAGGGGGTCGTACGAGCGGCTTTTGACCCTATGACGTCGGGCATTGATTAATCAATCAGCGTTGACGTTTCTAGTAGTTTACCCACAGTTCCGTGGGTCGCCGTAACAAACCGTTTCATTGGCTAATCCCTCATTTGAAGTCAAATAAAACGAAATTTTGAACTATAAAAAAATGAAACGAAATAAGATCTGTGTTTTAATCAGATAGTGTATTTATTATTACAAGATTTCCATTAACGGCTAATTCCAATTACAAATGAAAGACCCACAAGAAGAGAAGGGAGAAGGGGTTAGACAATGATGTTAGACCTCGTGTAGGGTACCTAACCGAACCGAGACAACCAAACGTTTTCCGTGAGACAGGTGATGAAAGGGAGACAACTCTTGTCTTTATCCCGTTGACACTCTTTGGCATTGAAAAATGAAAATAGTGCATCGCCCGACAAACGAGAAATAACAAGGTTTCGACGTTTACAACCACGAAATTGGTTTAAATTCGATAAAATGGAGACTGAAGAAATGGACGAATCACTTCTTCATACTGCACTGAAGATAGACGACACCGATGATGACAATTTTGATCTTGATATTCCACCGACAACCGGGAATGAGTATTTGAGACGTGTTCGGTAAGTAATTAGTGGGAGAGAAAAATGAAAGTAGAAAAATGCAAACGCCAAAAGCAAGCTTGAAAGTTGGAATTTGATAAAGAGTATATGGAAAGCCACTTTCCAGGCAAAATTTCCCGCATAGGACACTGCATGGCGTATCTTCATTATCCCGGTTGGTGCAGTGCAGAAAAGCTGGAGCCTCATTACAATTTTATTTATAAACCCCATTTCATGCCTGTAGTGTAGTGGTTACCATCATAGCACCCATTGGGATATACCCCAAACCTTTGTTTTAACTGAAAATATGACAAAGATGTTTATTACACCTGAAATAAATAAAGTAGTCATAGTATTTTTGTCTGTGAACCTGAAGAATTGCAGCCATTTGAATATTGCAGCAAGATTAAAGAAAACAAATGTCCACATATGTGATGGCGTATACAATGTATCTAACGTAAAAAGACAGCACATTCTGATGTCTGATGATGTAATGACTGCTCACTAAATTGAAAACAATGAATGTCTTATTCTTTAACCAATTCATGATATCTGAAATTTTAAGCCGATGGTGGATGGTCAAATGGTTAGCATGTGCGCTGTTTATCATAAGGTCTGTCATTGAGTCAACTGGCATGGTTTTCAATTACCCAGTTGTATGACCTGGAGAAAACCCACGAGGTTGGACAGGCGACCCTACTCCTTGTCACGTACAACTGGAGAATTGAACCACACCAGTTGACTCAATGACAGACTTTATGATACCGCACGCACACACTAACCATTCAGCCATCCAACCCCCCTATGATTAAAGGAACGTCCCTGCATATAAAGCATGCACATTGAATAAGCAGGCAATCATTACACAGTACGACAATAGTTAAAGTATCACCATCTTGGTAATATGTTTATGTGTTCTGTTTGGTTTGAATATATTGCAATGCCTTATTTCTGTTTATTGTTTACAGACAAGAAGCTAAAGAATGTCCTGATGTGATGGTAGCTAATTTAGATACAACTGTTTTTCACAGTAAACAAACAATTAAAGTCTCACAGGTATGTCATACTACTACTACTACTACTAGTATAGCAACATATTAACTCAATTTCATTTTCTTTCAATTCTATTCATTGTACTCAAGCATAGTAAAACTTAAATGTGACCCATGTAAAATAGATGCCATAGATTATAAATTTTTCGACAAAAATTTGCATTTCAACAAATCTTCCAAACACATGAGTTGTATACAATTGAAATGGGATTTAACGTCCTACTGTTCTGCTCCGAACTGGGCTAATGAAGACGGGCATACGCCATACAGTGTGCTATGAGGGAAATTTTGCCAGCGGTACTACGGCCTACTCTTATATCGAATTCCAACTGTCAAGGGATCTTTTACGTGCACGCCAATGTACATGGGGCCTTTGGTTTTTCATCCCATCCAAACGACTAGATAGCAGTACTTGCCAGGCCCTCCGTCCTGCATCACTGACAAGGGGAAACCACGCTGGGAGTTGCATACAAGCACATAAGGTCTATCATTAAGTCAAGTAGTATGGTTTCAATCTGAAGCTAGTACGTGACAAGGAGTGGGGTCACCTGCCCAGCATCATGGATTTTGTCCAGGTCCTCCGGTTGAGTGCATGTTAAACTCCATTTCTCTTTCTCTCTACATACATACCTGTTTTTATAATTACATTTCATGTTAATTTCAAACATTTTTTTTTCAGCCAGTTATTTGTTGTCCTGCACCAAGAGGTTTAGCACCAAGTTTATCATGGCAGAAACATCAGATAGCAACATTCTCTACATTAAGACAGGTAAATTGGTTCAAGTCATCATCATTTGCATTTTACACACAAAATCTAATCCTGCACAGCCTAATCCAAGCTAAAATTTACACAGATTGACGATTTAACATTAGATTAAACATGCATTATGCAAGAGCTAAATCTGCCTATTGCAGATCTTTCTTTAGGCCTGAAATGTTATCTCAGTTATTAATTAGACCTTAATTAACTTATCCAGATCATAATCAACTCTCGATGCCATCGATAACCTGTGATATTTTATGGATTGGAATACATTTTGTGAAGAATGATTAAACTTAAAAATAGATAATTGAGACTTTGTTTTTTATCGTACCGACTTTAGCAATGATGATCAAGGCTAGCCTAAAATTCAAAAGCTAATATCTCGGTTCAGAGTGGAGCAATGTGACTGAAATTTTCAGCATATTCTATTTACGTCATCTATATTTTAACTATTTTAGCAAGAACTGTCAACTCTTTATCTAATCTCCCATAATATCAAGAGTAGATAATCTCCCACTTTGAATTCAATCAAGTGTTTTATGGTTCATCACATTTTACTTTTTAGAGATTCATTCAACATCAAGCTTTCTTAAAAAAGAATAAAATAAAACCCGCTAAAGTGGTAAGTATATTTAATAACATTTGTGCAAATATAAAAGAACAAAATATATATGTTTTGTCTAAAGCAAAGCCTAGTTTAGGCATGGGCCTGAGGGGCCCAGACGCAGGGCCCCGCAGTTTAGGGGGCTCCGTGGTTCAGGGAAAAAAGAAAAAAAATTAAAATTCCAGATGAAAGTTTTACGGTAATCGATCTAGCAGCGCAAGGGCGGAGACTGAACTATCCCTCAACCTTCTCGGTTATCGGGGATTTCACTTGTTATAACAGTTCCCCGTCGTCATTGTATGCCATTCGGAACTGAATAGAGTTTGTATGTGATCACATATTATGTAATTATTCTTGTATTACAGACCGTTTAATTGTGTGTTACTCATGCGTGCCATTCAAAAGGATATGAAATAATCTTTTCGTAATGTTGGGGCTCCGCGATTCTAGTCAGGCCCAGGGCCCAGCTCCGGTTAAGCTGGGCTTTGGTCCAAAGTAGTTAAATCTATATTTCCTTGAGAGTCACGACCCCCAAGTACAAAATCATCGATGGAAAACTGATATCGATTGACTAGAAAAAGTATATTTGTACCAGAAATATTCTATCTTTTTAGGTACTTGATGGAAAACACTTTTTGACAATCTGAAAATTTTATGTATTACACTTGGAAGTTGATGAAGACTACTGGGATTTGTGACGTTTTAATCAAAAATGAAAATTATCCTTAAAACAATCCTGCTGAGTATGTCAATTATACTCAAATTTTGAACTGGATTTATAGCATAATTCTAAATCATTTATTTTTTTAAATGAATAGCCTAATTCTAATGATGCCGAGAGTTGGTGTAGATTGTGTTTTGGTCGTTTGACAGTTAAACCAAGACAAGAAGCAGAACCAATGATACAGAACGGTGACGTACAGCCAAAACCCGCTCCATCTCCTCTACAAATAAATGGTTCCCCTCCCCTTGTTAGTATTATATCAGCCATGGCACAGGTTAGTATCAGATTTCCCAACAATTATCTTATTCCCAAAATAACTGATTTTTGTGTTTTACGCATTGGGCTTCTGGTACTTTTTATTAATTCACACATTTTTAGTTAGACATGTCTTGTGCAGTGGGGGGATCACGGTGGCTAAGTGGGTAAGCAGGATGGAGGGCCTGACAAGGACAGGTGTCTAGTCGTTCGGATGTTACAAAAAACCGAGGTCCCTTGTATACATTGGTGTGCATGTAAAAGATCTCTTGGCAGTTGGAATTCGATATAACACATATCACACTGCATGGCGTATGCCCGTTTTCATTAGCCCAGTTCAGAGCAGAACAGTAGGACATTAAACCCCATTTCATTTCAGGTTAGTATCATTAAATTAAGCGTTTGTAATGTTTCGGGAATCTCAGTGGCTCAGTGAGTAAGGTGTTGGCTTGCCAACCAGGAGGAGGTCTCCGTTTTTCACTTCCGATGTGGTGCAGGATGGACTGCCTAGCAAGGAACAGCGCCCAGTCGTTCAGATGGTACAAAATAACACTAGTCCCGAATTGACCTAGTTTGTGTCGAGTGGACGTTAAGCCCCATTTCTCCCTCTCTCACAAAATAACATGGTTCCATAAAGATCCCTTGACAGTTGGAATTTGAAATAAGAGTATGCGGTAGTACCATTGTCCAGGCAAAATTTCCCTTATAGTACACAACATGCCCGTCTTCATTTGCGCTATTAGTGTAGAAAATAAAAAGATATTAAATTGCAAGGTGATCACATTTAGTGAACAAAGAAGTAAACATCTATATTAGCTTTCGGGATTACAAGAATTCTATTTATCTTTGTATTTGAATATTTTGTTGTAGCCAGCTATAGTAAAAGTATTACAGTATCATGTTAATTGGTTAGAGGCTACAGGGTTTACATCACATCAGGTATGTATATTATAATTCCAAGACTGTGACAAATAAACTTCTTACTCAAAGTAGAAGTAGTGGGTGGAAGGATCCCTGAAACAGTTCAGGTCAGCGTGGCTCTCCGTGATACCGTAGAAACAAAAAGGAAGCAATCCTTCAAAAATAATCACAAAATATAATCCCCTAGCAACACACTGACAAGACTGTAGTAGAACTTCTTAAAGTTTTTATTCCAGGATGCGTTCAGATGGCAGTCCGTTATTTCGTACTCAAATACACCAACATAAGTTCATAGGATGAAAATTCAAATGTTCTGCCAACTCTCTGAGATTCGGGGGGTTGGATGGCTAAATGGTTAGCGTGTGCACGCTGTATCGTAAAGTCTGTCATTGAGTCAACTGGCGTGCTTTCAATTCCCCGGTTGTACGTGACAAGGAGTAGGGCCGCCTGTCCAACCTTGTGGGTTTCCTCCCACTGCTAAAGACCCCTACATGCATGCTAATTATTGAAATAAAATTAAACCATATGTTAGTCCCGAAATGCCCTGGTTTGTGTCGAGTGGATGTTAAAACCGATCTCTCTCTCTCTCTGTCTCCCTCTGAAATTCAGAAAGTCCAGAAAGAAAGCATCTGGTAATTGGAATTAGATACAGAGAAATTGAATTGTAATTTGGAAAAACACAGTTAGTAGATCTGCTACCAATCATGGCAGTCCTATGTTGGCCATATGAAAACTCAAAATACTTTTGTGTGATCAACCTAAGAATTTATGGTGTTGTGATATAATTAGAATTGGGATACATGTTCAAATTACAAATTTAAAAACAGAACTTAGATATTGAATACATTAAAGGGGCATTAGGTAAGATTAAATAAAGAGCTGACAGTTCTCGCTATAATAGTTAAAAAATAGATAATGAAAACAGAATTTGCTGAAAATTTCGGATTCCTTTACTCTGAACCGAGATATTAGCGATTCAATTTTAGGCTAGCCTCGATCGTCATTACTACCATTGGTATGATAATAAAGTCTTGATTATCAATTTCTACGTTAAATTATCTCTCACAAAATGTATTCAAATCGACTAAATATTACGCAGTTTAACAATGGCATCAGAGTTGATTATGGTCTGGATAAGTTAATTAATGTCTAATTAATAATTTAGATAACATTTCAGGCCTAAAGAAAGAGCTACAATAGGCAGATTTAGCTATTCCATATTGCATGTTTAATATTGTTTCTTTATATTTGTATTTTAATGTAAATAGAACTTAAATATTCTGTTTACTGGGCCCTTATTCACGAAAACTTAAACTAAGATACAATCAAAATTTTAAGAAATACTGCAATTCGATTGGCTGACCAATATGCAAATTGGATATATGCAAATTGATTTTACTGGTCAGCCAATCGAATTGCAGTATTTCTTAAAATTTCGATTGTATCTTAGTTTAAGTTTTCGTGAATAAGGGCCCAGTTGACATAATTTTGAACTGTCAAGAGAAAGGATTTGTACTTCTTGTTATGATACACTGTATTACGTAAATGTCCTGTTTTAACATTGCCAGATGTTACAGCGATTTGTATGTTTTTATTGAACAGGGTTGATGGTTATATTTATGTCTGTATTTTAACAGGGTTGATGGTTATATTTATTTTTGTATTTGAACAGGGTCGATGGTTATATGCATTAATGACAGCCTTACAGAAACCATTAATACCAGAAGCTTGTAGTTTATTACGTACTCTAGCCAGACTGTGTTCACAAATCAGAGCTACTTTAACCCAGGTTAGTCTCATAATGTTCTACAAAGAGTATCACATGTTAAGAAAGGGTATCATGTGTTCTAAAAAAGGGATATCACATGGTATAGAGAGGGTATCGCATTTTCTAAAAAGGCTATCACATGCAGCATATTTTTTAGAGTGATAGAGTATTACACTGTGACGATCTTTTGAGTGTCTTAATTGCAGTTGAGTTCAGTCTCACGATTTTATATTTTCAAGCATATCTCAAATCCCATTTATATTACAAAAGTGGAACGGTACTCAGTCCATAGTTGGAACCAATCCACAACATTTTCCTGAGTGTAAGCAGGTGAAAACATACACAAGTTGGATGGGAACTGGCCAGGGTAAGGTGGTCTGAATCCAGGATCAAGTCCACAACATTTTCCTGAGTGTAAGCAGATGGAAACATACACAGGTTTGATGGGAACTGGCCAGGTTAAGGTGGTCTGAATCCAGGATCAAGTATTCGGGCCAGTCTAAATAGGGTTTATGACTGTCTAACTAAGCTCAGGGATTTTCACATGTGTATGCCCTCCCTATTGTCAAGAATTGTTATTACTTGCTTGTGTCATATTCTGCAAAAGCCTAGATTGTTTATTTCAAATTTTAGGATGAAGCTGGTGAGAATCAACTAACAGAGTTAAATTTAATGATTTGTCTAGTTGCTAGATATTTTGATCAAGGTGATTTGATAGAAGATGGTAATACTTGAAGATTGAACATGATTCACCCAGAATATAAACATTAAAATGACTACCATGGAATATAAATATTAAATTAAGGATGGACAGACAGTGACTACCCTGGAATATTAAATTGGAGATGGACAGGTAGTGACTACCACGGAATATAAATATTAAAATGAAGATGGACAGAAAGTGACTACCATGGAATATAAATATTAAATTGAAGATGGACAGGAAGTGACTACAATGGAATATAAATATTAAATTGAATATGGACAGCTAGTGACTACAATGAAATATGAATATTAAACTGAATTACACTTGTGTGTAACTGGTGATATATGAAGGGTGTTGTGTTTTTCAGTCATTTAAATATCAGTGATGTGTCAACTTGTAGAATGAATGTTATACGGTACGAAAGACTGTTGAGACAAAATAGATACCAAAAATAAAAAATATTTATGAAGAGCTCTGGGGAAGAACGATCTTAGTCACTTTTTCAACAAACCCCAGTTGGTAGCAAATTGTATAAGCTTTTTGTGGAACAATCAGTGTCAGTTAAAAACGATCGGAGTCACATCGAACCAAGGCCCTTCTGAAATGACCCCCCCCCCCCCCGGGTTTGCCTGAAAAGTGGAAGTCAGTTGTTGTACTGGTAATTATGATCCGTAGTAAAAATCATTTTGAAGTTGCAATTAAACCCACTCGTTGTTCTGTTCATGTCAAGCTTTCTCGTCCAAAAGTCTGTTTTGCCTTTTATGCGAAAAGACAAAAATGTGACTTAGATCGTTCTTCCCCTGGACTCTTCATATATAATTCTGAATAAGTCTTGTTTTCATTTACTGATACGCAGAAATAAATAAAGTGTGTATAATCTCCTAGAGGCAGTCAGGTATGTAAATCTAATGGTGGTCTGGTTCCTATTTTATATGTTAAAAATGAAGTTACCTCCCTTGAATTGTACTGGCCTTTCAGATCGGCTTCAGTTTTCATTGCCTAGAAAGACAGCTTACAAATTAGTTTATTTTATGTTTTACGTTTCAAAAATTCTTCTATTCAACAGGGTCTTTGCACAATTGGGCACCCTGAAATTATTGATCTCACCAACTAAGAGTTTAATTGGCCAATCCACTGCAAGCAGTAACCCAGCCTCGGACTTGTGATATCAAAGAGTAGGCTACCTGGAACATCAGCTAGCATCCCAAACTAATCCACAGTAAATTTTCGCTCAGTCTCTACAATGTCTAATATAAGAGGGATCAAATATGGCTAATTTAACGAGGCATTAATATTAATAAGCTTGAAAAATTAATAAGTTTCTTAAAAATCTATCCTGCTGTGAACGCACCCCTTCTATTATAGCCATTATATCACACCTTCATAGATCATTATTAGAAAGAGACAGAGAAATGGGGTTTAACATTCACTTGACACAGAATTCACATGTCCGTAGGGGTCTATAGCAATGAGAGAAAACCCACGAAATTGGGCAGACGACCCTGCTCCTTGTAATGTTCAATCGGGAATCAAAAAGACACCACTTGACTCAATGACAGACCTTATGATTTCACGTGCATACATTAACCCCACCCACTTATCATTTTATAGATGATTATTAGAAGCAGTATTTCTTTGATAACGTGACAAAGTTGAAATTCTTGTCAATAGAAGTTGGGTAAATGGTATCAAATATCTAAGTGAAATGGTTGCTTACATTAATTAGTCTAAAGCCTAGCTCACAACGCACCCTGCATGCTGCTACAGGCAGTCTACCAGGGGAATTTGAGTATAGGTGTGCGTGAGACTTACACATCACATGCATGTGGCACGGTAGAAGATCACAGACGCAGACTGGGTTGTGAGCTAGGCTCAAGTTTGTGGGGTTTTTTCTGGATCCTCTGGTTTTTATAACACTGGGACGAAAACTAATGTGAACAAGTGAATTATTGCAAGAAAATAACTGAAATGAAATGGAGTTTAAAGTCCTACTGTTCGAACTGGGCTAATGATGATGGGCATATGCCATACAGTGTACTATGAGGGAAATTTTGCCCGGAAAGTGGCACTACGGCCTACTCTTATATCGAATTCCAACTGTCAAGGGATCTTTCATGTGCACGCCAATGTGTACACAGGACCTCGGTTTTTCTTCCCATCCAAATGACTAGACAGCTGTCCTTGTCAGGCCATCCATCGAGCATCACTGACAAGGGGGAACCACACCGGAAAATCTGGATGAACTTTCTCGGCCAATGCAGGGATCGAACACCCGACCTGCAGGCTAGCAAGCTAGCATTTTACCCACTTTGCCACAGTGACCCAAGAAAATAACTAGCCGGTCATCTATGACCTGGTTGTGTATTGGTAGTATCACCACAAGACAATTGTAAAATAAAAGTAAAACGTAAATTATATTTATTAGGGGTTTATTTTCTAGGAATGATTATAGGTAATACTTGAACATTAGATAAGGAATAATTATCTGAAATACTTGAACATTAAATTCAACAAAACATAACAAATAATAAATACTTTCTAAATATCAATACTTGAACCAATCTATAATTGTTTACCTTTTAATACTTAATAAAATAAGAAAGAAGAGACCAAATCTACAAACATATATAATTACAATTACCATAGAAACCTGGCACCACTTTCACAAAAACATTCTCAGACTTTAAGATACATTATGGGAGATTAGATAAAGAACTGGCAGTTAAAAACTAGATAATGTAAAAGGAATTTGCTGAAAATTTCAGTCAAATTGATCCACTCTGAACCAAGAATTTAGCAACTGAATTTTCGGCCTAGCCTTGATCATCATTACTAAAGTTGGTAGGATAAAAAACATAGACTCGATTTATCCATTTTTTGATTTAATTATCAATGAGCGTTAAACAGCAGATCAGATTCTGATCTTATAAATAATATTGCAGGCAAGCGATAACATCGAGAGTTGATTTAATTAATGTCTAATTAATAATTTAGATAACATTTCAGGCCTAAAGTAGAAAGACCTGCAATAGGCAGATGTTTAGGTTAAGAATTTACTTAAAATTGCCAATTTTATTTTAACTAAAATATAGCCTTTCAAAAACTTTTATTGTTTGAATGTATAAATACATCAATAAGAAACTATGTGCAAAATTTTGTGTTTCTTGATCAAGTAGAGTAAAATCTAGTCTGAGAATGATTCATGTGCAACCGTCCGGGGCCAGGGGAGTTATTCACAAAACCTTACAGATTCAGCCTTTTCATTGGATTCAAATCCTGATACAAATTTGAGCTCTAAACCAATGAAATATCTGAACCTGCCTTAAGATCGGCTGGTAGCTAAAACTTTAATTAAAATATTTTAGTTGTGAATAGGACCCCTGTATTCTATTTGGTAGACTATATCTGTCTGGTATTGTACATTAGGGCAGGAAAAGCCACTGGAATGTTCCTGAAATATATCTAGATCTTATATAAACACCTTTATATTATCATAATGTTTTTATTTTTTTTTTTTTTATCAAAATCGGAGAAAAGGTATGTTGAATTGAAAATCTTTAGAGAAGATCAACCAGGTATTTTTTGTTTTGAAATTACTCCCCTACCCCCACCACCCAAGAAATAGTAAGCAAAATTTTAATAAGAAATGAAATGGGGTTTAATTTCCTCCTTTTTTGCACCGTCTGGGTCAATGAAGACAGAATTTAAAAGGAGCTAAATCGCTATTCTTTGGCAACTGGAAATGGACACAAGAATATACATTCAATTGTTTCTGTTTTTACTGTAAATTCTAATCAGTTATGTTCGGCGAAGTCAAAATTGAATGGCAGTCTTTGGCTTCTAGTTATTCCAGTCTACACCAGTAGTATTCTTTTGTGGGATATGTTTAGCCTCATTCATGAAGTTGCTTCGTTATAAATGGTGCTTGATTGAAAGCATTCTGGCGATTCATGTGCCAATTTTAAAATTTTCATTTTGTCTTAAATGTTGGATATCAGAAGCCCATTTTTACACGGTAAGATAAACAACATCAATGTTGATTTAAATTGACCAGTAAGTCTTGTTTGAAATGTCGAAGACTGTGGATGATAATGAGTTAAGGACTTGCCTCCTTTAATACGAGTTCCAGAAGAATAATAATTCCAATCATTATAACGTAATTGCTTGTTTTTAATTCATTCAACTTTCACTTAAATATCTATTAAAATTACAGAGCTTTTTTTTTAGCACCTCTCGGCAGGTAGTGAATTAAAAGGAGATTAGCGTAAATCATCAATAACATGCTCCCTGCATGTTTAACTTTCACTGTAAAACATTAAATGGATTCCATGATGCATATCTAATTGAGGCGACAGATGTACTAATATCTCCATAAATACAAACTTACTTATAATATATGTATGTAGATAACAAGTATATATATATTGATTACATATACCCAACTGTTGTCAGTCATACTCATGAGAGCAATATTTAAAAACGTTGCCTATTTTTATTGTAATCATGGCAGGCTTTTAGCCAAAAACATTTAACTAAATCGGATATTCAAGTATAGTGAAATAAAAAAACTAACAAATTTCAGAAAAAAAGAACATTCTAGACAAAATGCACAAATTTAATCTGATTTAAGTTTCAAATTATTTCTAAAGCTCTTAAAATATGTTATCTTAATAAACTGAAAAACCTAATCAAAAGTAACAAGACATTTGCATAAATAATTTTACAATTTGACATCTTTACTTTAACAGAAGAAAAATCTTTTTTGCTCTAGACAAAACCTTGCCATGTTTACATTCGACCATATCCTACATGTATATATCATCTGCCTTGAGTGTTGACAAAATTTCAATTCCACATATCTTTATAAATACTGAATGGAATTGCACTAGTTTTTGGATTGATATTCCATTTTAGAGATTCATCTTTTACAATATTGTAGTTTGGACGATTTTTAAAACTTAAGCAAATGAAAGGATAGTTGCCATTTGCAGATAACTATGAGTCACCTAGAGATTATCCAGTGTCATTTAACCGAGTTGCATACCTGACAATTGAGCCTACAAAAGGAAATGTATTACCGACTTCTCATCCTGCAGAAAATATGAACGTGTGATAATTAATGATTTTTTATTTTTTTTTTAATAAAACAGCTCTTAAGTGACACCGCAGTTTCTGAGAACCACATTATTTTGTCATATGACCTTGGAAGTCCGTTTTTTTTATAAAGTTGGATGAGAAGTGAATATGAATAAATATATGGTACTTTTAATTTTAATATCACCACCAAAATTACATTTTCTAATCACAGTAGTTCAGACATTCATATTAAAATAATTTCCGAATAAATCCTGTAACATACATGTAGAGTGGGTCCATAATCCCCTTGCACAACCATTACGATCAGCCCATATTGATAATTATATATCTATAGTATTTGTGTGAAAGACAATACAGCAGCAGTTTTTTTTATTTATACATCAAACCGCCACCAAAGAACCAAATCCATCACAAATTTACAAGTCTGTTTGGATTTCTGTCAATACTGCTTCAATTCTGAACACATAAAGAAACTCATTCCTAAATAACACAGTTTCATCTTACTAACTGAACATTTAAAACAAATTCCTTAACCCTTTGACTGCCGAGTGCCCCTCCACTGGGTTTAGAAGTGAAAGTCAGGGCCAAACAACCAAGTGTTCATATTATGGACATTACAACGTTGATTTCTTGTTTTTTTCCAATACTGCCAACAGCTGTGGTGTCTAGACACGACTGGGCATAAACATGTGATGATCACGTTGGAAAACCCTATGGCAGATACTGGAAATCTGACTGCTAGAGTTCAAAGGGTTAATGACAACTGACATCATTCACTAGGATAATGTCTTTTTCTTAAATTTGTTATCAAGTTGTGATAAAGTAGAAGCACTATAAAGTCCTAATTTAAGCCCGGTTTTAGCACGATTCTGATTTATATGTTTAGTTGGAAAAGGATTAAACGGTTTGGATTTATAACTTGGAGATAAGGAAGTGTCCGATCCTGAATCTGGAGTAGGATGTTGTGAGGTTGAGGGTACATGGGAAGTATTTTTTCTCGTGGGGTTGTTAGAACTATGAGAATATTTAGTCACGTAACCGTCTCCTTCCACCATATTAACGGAACGAGTATAGGATTGTAACATCATGGTATGTTTTGACTTGCGATACGGCACATCACTACTCAAAATCAAACCATTAGCACCACCGTTATCTAACGCCATTTCTGATTGGCTGGATCTGAGATCTTTATTGCTTTTTGACCTATCACCACTGTTTGTTTTTATTATGTTCTCTGTGGGTTTATGTTCTGCTGTACTTTCGTCATTTGTATCTACAGAACATGAACGCATTTCATCCTCACTTTTCACAGAATCGCTATCTGAGTTGTCCAAGCCTACAGTATGTAAACTCACAGTCGACCAGTCTTTTTTTGTTTCCGTATTGCTTAAACTATTTTCATCTTTGGTTACGCATAAAGAAGTTTCCGATTCCATTGTTTTACTGCTTTCTTCAATTTTTTCACTTATTGGAGAGTTATCTGTCTTGCATGTGTCTTGAACAGTTTCAACAGAGGCAGCACTAGACAATGTATCACTATTAGAATTGACACTATTATTCCGCGAACTATCTCTCCGATGACGATTCTCGGCTTTAGCAACAGCATACACTTGTTTACTCAACAAACTACTTCTTGTACTAATTGGGGCAATCGTTGGACCGTCTGCTATTATCCGATTTTTCCCGCCACTCGGTAATTTTCCAATAAATAAATGATTCATAGCTGTCGGAGTTTCAATTTTAGGCACAAAAACAACTGCTTTAGGTTTGGGTGTTTTTCTCACAGAGGCACCTGAAATGACAAGTAAAAAAAGTTATAAGAGGTATTTCATTGGATTTCATATGTTGATTTGCTTTTTGAGGGGATGCCAGTCTTTATTAAAATTTGTGCGTTCATAAATAAAGTCAATATTCAAAAATAAAATCTTTCAAAATAACTTTGTCCCTGTTCTTAGTTTTTACATGAGAAAAGCAGACTTGAAAATCCTGAGAAACTTTCTTGAATAACACTGGAATCTGGTCCATGAAAAACAAGCATTGGATTCAAGCCATTGACCCCTTAGTAATCTACAGCGTGCTACAGACCACTTGGCCAAAATGAAATAAAGTGAAAAGAGTTTTAACGTCGAACTGTTACGCATCAACTGCACTAATGAAAACAGTCATATGCCATGCAATGTGATATGACAAAAATTTTGTCCACATAGTAGAGGAGAGCGGGGATGGTTCGGACGGTGGGATGGTCCGGACACCCCCCATAGCTTTAATCTTTACAATGCTATCCGTTTTCTGATTGGTTATTATAATACTAAAGATCTCATCTTGTAACATGAAAAACACATGGCAGAGATAAACATTCAAATGTAGATGCAGATAAGCTTTTTTCTATTTTTGACAAAGTTGATGTAAAAAATTTCTAATGATAAATGCATAAATTAATTTGGTGTTTAACAAGTTTCTATTAGGGGTAGGCTGTCACCTCTTTCTTCCTTTGCTAATTAATAGAAATAGATTGAAAATTTATCATATTTTCATTGTAAATAAACATAATGGGGGCTTATATCAGAATTATGGGTTTGGGGTACATCCAGACACTGTCCGGAAATATCCCTCATGTGTTCTGATCAAACTGTTCAGTATTTCCAAGAGTCAGATTTGATAAAAAAAGAAAAGAATGATGACTGGCAGTTGCGGGGTCTAATAAGTTTACTGAAATTATGGGTACTGCTTTACGTCCATTAAATCAAATTCTGTCAATTCTTCCGAAACCTTTACCCAATAGCAACAAGGGGATGAGTTATTACTACAAATTGGTACGTCATTTGCGGGAATAAACATTTGTTAGCTTTTTGGATGTAAATTATGGATTGATGTCATACCTAGAGAATAGCAAGAAGATTTAAAGCTTTAGAATTATCAGTTAATTCCTTTTTGAATCCCATTCATTTATTTTTGTCCAGCTATGTTAAAAATATGTCTCGGTTAGATGACATTCAGCTTTAAATGAATCACTACTGTGTTAACTTTATTACTAACGGAACTTTTTGAATAAATAGAACTAAACTTTGAAAGAAATCTTTTCAATTTGCTTTTGTCCAATCCCCCTCCATTTGTCCAAAGTATCCCCCCAGGGGTGACCTGTGTCTCCCTGCTAATGGGGTAAATCCGGACATTTTACTAACCCCTCAAAAATTGGTCCAACACAAAGACTTTTATAGCTACACAGCTGTATCACTGATTGAATACAGCCAATAAGGTAAAGTCTATTTTCCATTCTTAAGTTCGGAGACAAGTACGGTACATTATTAGTTGCAAAAATGTGAAAAAACCCAAAAGTATCCGAACCATCCCCGCTCTCCCCTAGTGTTTCCACCTACACTTCATCAAATTACAGGTTCTTTTACGTGCACACCAATGTGTACCCAGCAGGACCTTGTTTATTTGTATCCTTTGATACCTTCCCTTGCCAGGCTTAGCCTGCACCACTGACAAGGGGGAAACACATTGGACAATCAATCCTAGGAGAACTGTCTCCGCCAACACAGAGATCGAACCATGGACCTCATGTTTAGTGAGCCAGTGCCCTACACACTAAGTCACTGTGGCTCCACCATTCAACCAATCAAATAATTTAGAAGATAAAACTAACCTGCAATGATGATGTGAGCTTGTCGTTGTCGCAGACGTAGTGTTTCATACTGTTTCTTAAGTGCATGGATATCTGTTGACATGCGTTCCATATAAGGAATTCTATGTCCCTGACTATCAACGGAAGCGCCAAAAGCTCCAGGCCCCACTGAAGAAATATCAGCCTCAGTTCCTGACTGCCCTTCCATACCTGCCAAAAGTATGCAATGAAAATAAATGGTTTAAAATGATGAGCTAAACAAACAAAAATCAATATTCCTAAGTTAAATGTACACAATTTAATTTAATTGTTTGTTTATGAGACAATTGCTACACATGGATGAATCTTGTAAAATGATAACTTTTATCTGGAAAGGTTAGGGGCAAAAAAAAACAAAACAACTACCCAATGGCATTTTTAACGCAGGATCAAAGTGATTTATATATATATATAGCCACATCTGCCAAAATGTGCAATATTTAACATAGGAATGTGAAGTTTTGTTTTGTATTTTATTCCATACTAAAACTTTTGGGGTTTGATGTTTTGCGAAAATGCTATCTTTTATCTTGAAAGGTCAAAGTTGAAAAAAACAAATGGCATTAAAAATTATTATTAAAATTATATACTGGCTCTTTAAATTTATTTAAACAAATATTTCATGTACTGAAAACACCGGTTTCACACTCAAATAAACATCAGTTTTACACTCAAGTAAACATTAGTTTTACACACAAATAAACATCAATTTAACACTTAAGTAAACCTCAGTTTTATACTCAAATAAACATCAGTCTACACTCCAGTAAACATCAGTCTACACTCCACATCAGTCTACACTCAAGTAAACATTCGTTAACACTCAAGAAATGTGATGACCATCTCAATATGCTATTATAAAATTAGAAGAGATAAATTGTGGGTTTAGATCTTCTTAAGAGTTAATGCAAGTGTTTCTATTTTAACGTAAGGGGTGATGCCCATTCTTTAACCCTAAAGCACCTTGATCAGGCAGTTTTGTAAATGAAATGAAATGGGATTGAACGTGCTACTGTTCTACATCGACTGGGCTAATGAAGACAGGCTACACCATGCAGTATACTATGAGGGAAATTTTGCTGAGAAAGCAGCACAACAGCCTACTCTTATTTAGAATTCCAACTATAAGGGCTTTTTTTCATACATGCCATTGTGTACAAAGGACCTCAGTTTTTCATACCATGCGAATGACTAGACTGCTCTCCATATCAGGCCCTCCATCCTGCACGACTGACAAGGAATTTTCTCTGCAAACACTGACCCGATACCCATATGCTAACAAGCCCCAGCGGATCCCATTTTGAAAATGAGCTTAAAAAATCAAAATGTAAAACCACCCCACTAGAATCACACGACCGTGATGTATTTCCTATTTACTTATATTACCTGTTATCAACGTAAACTAGTAGCATTTGGTCAAAGTAATTTATGCCTGATTTATTTATTCCAACACACTTACCTGGAAAACATGAAATGGCTTCAATATCATCTTCATCTAATTCATCATCATCTGAATATAAGACATTCTTGGTCGCTCGTGATTGTTTCTTGTTGCCATTAGCAGTGTTTGTAAATGGACGTATATTGTAGGTATATTTTTCACGTAGATCTATCAGGTTTGGGAAAGGAAAGGGAGCGATACTGTATATTGACTGGAAAATAAATCATAACATATAAGCTTACTTTCATAAATTACACCTATTAAACATAAACAAAGTCTAGGGCCATCACATATCCATACTCCCCGATTAGTGCTAATCCCACAAAACACTGCTTTAATGGAAGCAAATATCTGTTCCAAATTATGACTGGTCAATAGTCCGATAAACAACCAATAGTTAACTGCGTAACAATATCATTACGCTTTAAACAGAGCTCCAAATTGGACCAAATATGTTTACATAACATTACGTCATGACTCACGATTTTATTATGCCCAATTAACCAGTGCATAGTAGAATATTGCAGAAAAACGAGGCTATCAACACGTAAACAATGTAAACAATACTGTTTGGAGACGAACATACTTTCACCGTTTTTAATACCTTAAATCACTGTCCAAAGTTTTAGGGAAGACCCAGATTAAACGAAGGGCTGTCAATGTTGCTGTACTTGGGATAGATTTGATTGAACAGGAAGAATAAACACACTCCCCCAAAAGCTCAGGTATCAGAAGCCAATCCAGCAATGGCCAGAGAGGGATTTTTCGGGCCATTGCTTCAGGAATATGTCAGATATCTAGTTACCTTGGAGTAGCAGGATTTTTTTTCCGAATAATATGACGATTGTCAGGATTATCCTAATTTTTGTGTTTAACACATATCAACTTAAAGGTGCATAAGGTAAGATTAGATAAAGAGTTCTTGCTATAATAGTTAAAAGAATAGATAATGAAAACAAAATATGCTGAAAATTTCAGTCAAATTGCTTCACTCTGAACCAAGATATTAATTTTAGGCTAGTCTCTGTCCTCATTACTGAAGTTGGTATGATAACAAACAAAGTCTCCATTATCCATTTTTACGTTAAATTATCCATTACAAAATCAATTCATATTCAGTAAATATCGCAGCCTAGCGATGCCATCGAGAGCTGATTATGGTCTGGATATGTTAATTAATGTCTAATTAATAATTTAGATAAAATTTCAGGCCCAAAGAAAGACCTGCAATAGGCAGATTTAGCTCTTGCATGTTTAACTGTATTTATTGTATTTTGAATCCAAATTCTTGAAATCCTAATTCTTTGAGAAATGAAATGAAATTGGGTTTATAAGGTACTACTGTTCTGCTCCGATTGGGCTAATAAAGATGGGCATATGCCATATAGTGTGCTATGAGAGAAATTTTGCCTAGATGCGGCGCTACACCTATTCTTATAGTCTTATATCAAATTCAAACTGCCACAAGATCTTTTACATTCACACCAATGTGTACACACAGGACCTTGTTTTTTTTGCCCCCTGTCCTGTACCACTGACAAGGGAGGTCGACGATGGAAACTACTGATGAACTTTCTCGGCCAACACAAGGGAGGACCACGCCAGAAAGTCCTGATGAACTTTCTCAAACAACACAAGAATTGAACACTGTGCCTCCAGGTTAACAAGCCACCATGGCTTTTCTAATTCTTTAAGTCAATTTGTAACATGGATGGGAAATCTTCCTTTGTTCTTTTCGATGAATAAGCAGATTGTTTTCCCTCTAGCAGATTAGGTGGAGCTTAACCGTGCAATAACTAGACATGTTCAATAATATTACTGCACACTTTTGCTGGTTTACACTAGTTTTAGTAGAAATCATATAGAGAAGTGGGGTGGGTTTTCTGTGCAATAACAATAAGCATGTTGAGCAGTTGTCAATGTTACAAGTCATTTATAGCACGCTTCATTCGTTAACAGGTTTAACCCCTCGGTCTTCAGCCTCTGGTTAAACCTGTTAACGAATGAAAGTCGTGCTATAAATATAATTTAACTGCCATTTATCTGTTGTTTTAGTATTAGGCTACACAAAATAAATGTCTTGTTTCTCGGGCAACTGACAGCTGAAACTGTAGGGGGGGAGGGCGGTTTATTTTTTTTTTTATCTCATTTCTGGCTAGAGGATGGTGCAAAATAAAATTTGGCTATTGTTGAAAATTGTTGGGGCGGGAGGGCGGCCTTGTATTTTTTTTTTTTTTTTAATGAGAAAGCCATTACTTGTCTACGGTTTTGCTTTCAGTTATATATTATACATACTTAGAACATAAATCCAAAAATCAAGTCTACTCAAACACTGAACACTGACTGAAAGGAAAATAATTTTCCATATTTAATTCACGTAATGTAGCTTACTAATGGTAATGGTGACAACCATAATTGAAATTGGTTTAAAATAAAATTCCGTACGACTATTAATAGCCGTCCATAATAACGACAATATTTTAAAGAGTAAGCCTCTGTCAGCATGTGTATCAAAAATAATCATCACGGTAAACGACACTTCGATCTAAATCTAGTATCGCTGGTTTATAATGATTGACCTAATTCCAACCAATGCATGTCACGTGTCATCGGGATTCGTGAAATGACTGTTTCTCAGGATATTTGGTGTGTTTCTCAGCATATTCGGTGTTCTATCTGGGGTTTATATCGAATGACTATTTAAATTTAACTAACAACTCGTCAGTAAAACCATCAAATGTGTAATCCAATTATTATTTTCCGGATTATCAAAACTACCGTTAAACGTGCTAATGACCCAGATTCTGACTAAGGTATGGTGACTATCATCGTATCGTATTCGTAGCCACAAGTTATAATAATTAACCTGTTCTACGATTCATTGTTTTATAAGTAGGATTTTTTCAAACATGGACCGACTGAAGCCGGCAATAATGAGCCGATTAAGATCGAATGATTGAAATACATTGCATTGTTGTCAATGACTTTCGGTGTTTAACACGAATCAAATTCTAGTTCACAAGGGGAGGTAATTAAAATCACGTGATACAAAAATGGAGGTTCTTTCGATATCAATAAAAAAGACCCGTAAATGAGCGTTTACATCTGAATCATTTTAATACATTTGAATGGATATTCACGAATGGGGCATGTAGATACATGCGGCATATTTTTTTTATGACTTGCTTATCGATGTTCGGGCGGGCGTTACATATTTTTTATTTTTCATCAAGACTAATAAATAGGCCGCACGCGCAACCAATTTTGCGTGCGGGCGGTGCCCGAGAAACAACTTATTTTATTTGTGTTGCCTTAGCTAGTAGTTTAATGACAATTTCCACCCTAGTGATAATGGAGACAAGTGTTGCGTTACAGAATTCAACATTCCTCTCTAAACAGCCAATAAAAAGCTGAACATTTGGAAGCAAAGGGGTAATCGTTATTTTTTTAAAAATAAAATCCTACCTTTATAAAGGAATCAACATTAAAGAGATTTCCCTGCATCATTTCAGCTGATAAATCTCCCATTAACGTATAAAATTCATCAGCACTAGGCACATTCATTATACGTCTAAAACAAATAGAAACATAAATTATTAAAGACCAGAATTCATTAAATCATTGAACAAAGAAATCATGTGACATTTTCAAGTTCGTAACACAACAATGTAATTTTGGGCCTAACATAGATAACATGTTTGTTATGTGTCAATGGGGGGGGGGGGGGCAGAACAGTTAATGTGTACGCGTTGCATCATAAGGCCTGTCATAGTCAAGTGGCGTGGTTTTGATTCCCCGCTTCTACATGGGGTTACTCCGGGTCCTCCAGTTTCCTCCCACTGATAAAAACCCCTATGGACAAGTGAATTATTGAAATAAAATTGAACCATATGTTAGTCCCGAAATGACCTAGTTTGTGTCAAGAGGATATTAAACCCCATTTCTCTCTCTCTCTCTCATGTCTGAATATATAAATGAAATTGAGGTTTAACATCCCACATTTCTGCATTAACCAGGTTACTAAAAACGTCCATATGCCATGAGGTATGCTACGAGGAAAATTTTAACTGGTTTCTATCTACTCCTCTTCTATTTCCAAATCTCAAGGGTTCTTTTACATGCAGGCCAAAATATTTTTGTCGTCCCATCCAAACAACTAGACACACTTTCCTGGTCAGCCCTACAGGCAACAACTCTGAAAGGAATCTAACCCAGGACATTATAGTCGAGTGTCTGTGTACCCTTAATGCTAGGCTAGGATATCAACGAAAGAAAGAGAGAGAAATGGGGTTTAATGCCCACTCGACACAAACTAGGTCATTTCAGGACTAACATATGGTTCAATTTTATTTCAATAATTCGTTTACGTTTTTTGTCTTTAGCAGTGGGAGGAAACCAGAGGACCTGAAGAAAACCCACAAGATTGGACAGGCGGTGGCCCATTGTTCGATCCCGGTGTTGGCTGAGATAGTTCAGATGGGGCGAAAGTTTGAATGGAAGTTGGAATATAAGCGGGGAATCAAAACCACGCCACTTAATGACAGACCTTCTGGTCAAACACCCACGTGTTAACCATTCAGCCACCCAACCTACCCACACTACCAACAAAGCCACCTAATTTAAAAGAAATATTATACGTGATGGGTGCAGGTGTATTTAGCTGACATTAAAAGATAAAAATCTCATTTAACAATTCTATAAAAGGTTTCTTTTTTTTTTTTTTAAAAATGCTTGTAACGAGAAGATGATTAAACCTATAAAGATCAATCATTCATGTGAAAAATACAAAAGGTTTCTTTTTTGCTATTAAAAACTTGTTATCTCGGCATAAACGGAAGATAATTAAACCAATACAGATCAAATGTTTCCGTGAAAGGGACAAAATTAGAATGACATTTTCATTTACTTCCAGACATCCATCAATAGAAATAGAAAATGTCAAAGCGTGGTATTACTCTGATCAGTTATGTGTCTTGGTGTTCTATTATATTGTCAAGAGAGTAAACATTGCTTTAAGTGTCTTGACGTTCTTTACTATTGCCAGGAAAGTGAAATCAATATCATATATAATAAGCATGGTACCTGATACATGAGTTAATCTTCTACTCTGGTTAGTTATTGATGTTAGTTATGGATGTTAATTATTGATGTATGTTACTGATGTTAGTTATTAATGTTAATTATTGATGTTAGTTATTTCTATGATCTCAAAGCACCTGCTGTACTTATCTATCATCATTCTTAAACAAGAGAAGGAAATTGAGTAATGACTCATCGATACCTTATATAGAAAGTTCAAGATTTAAATAAAATGGTGTTTAATGTCCTACTTTTCTGCACCATGGCTAAGGAAGAAGGATATATACCATACAGTGATGAGGAGAATTTTGCCCTGAAAGCTGCATTCCCACCTAGTTTTCATTGAATTCTAAATGTCAAGAGTTCTTTTACATGTACACATTATAAAACTCAGATTATTCGTCCCATCCAAATGACTAGATCCTATTCCTTGCCTTACACCACTGACAAGGGGGAGAGAGAGAGAAATGGATTTAACATCCAATCGACATAAACTAGGTCATTTCGGGACTAACTCATGGTTCAACATCCATTCAACATCATGATTTAACATCCATTCGACATAAACTAGGTCATTTCGGGACTAACTAACTCATGGTTCAATTTTATTTCAATAATTCACTTGCACGTAGGGGTCTTTAGCAGTGGGAGGAAACCGAAGGACCCAGAGAAAACCCACGAGGTTGGACAGGCCGGGGAATTGAAACCACGCCAGTTGACTCAATGACAGACCCTAAGATACAGCACGCACATGCTAACCATTCGGCCATCCAACACCCGGAGAAACCATGCTAGAAAACCATGATGAAGTTTCTCTACCAACACTGGGATCAAACTCGTGACCTTCAGATTAGTGGCCCTGACTAAGCAACTGTGGCTTATAATCATAGCATTCACACAACACAGGCCATCCAAAATTAATATTTTGATTCTTAGACAATCATGACAATACAACATGACAAGCCGGTAAAAATAATCTCACAAGACAGTCTCACTGTAAAATTACTTTTCTAAGCTCATAATAAAGTCTCACTGTAAAATTATTTGTCTAAGCTCATAATACAGTCTCACTGTAATTTGTAAAATTACTTGTCTAAGCTCATAATACAGTCTCACTGTAAAATTACTTGTCTAAGCTCATAATAAAGTCTCACTGTAAAATTACTTGTCTAAGCTCACAATACAGTCTCAATGTAAAATTACTTGTTTAAGCTCATAATAAAGTTTCACAAACTGGTAAAAACACTCGTCTAAGCTCACAATACAGTCTTGCAAGCTGGTAAAAACACTTGTCTAAGCTCACAATACAGTCTCACAAACTGGTAAAAATACTTGTTTAAGCTCACAATACAGTATCACAAGTTTGATTTTTGAAATTGAATATATATAAAACAATGGATAACCTACCTGGCCAATTTTCCCCAGATTGTAAGAGCTGTACGTAATAAAATCTCTGATCCCTCCAGTAAAATAGAATCCATTACTCGTAGTACAATATTTTTCGGAAGACATGTGGCAAATAACGTTAAAAACCATTGCATAGTAAAGACATTAGTCAGTGGAGGCTCATAACACGCACCTGAAATATAAGTTATCTCTATAGAATCTTGCACACAAAATTGTTAGCACTAAGACCAATTTCAAAGTACACTAAACCTGATGATTTAAATCATGGTTGCTTTTCGGTTCGCTATATACATGTATGTATCAGTAGTTCTCAACATTGTTTTTGAAAATTAATGCTAAATATAACTTGGCCAATTCTAAAAAATCATTTATGTCACACACCAATTTAAAGGTTTTTAAATACAGAATTTTTTACCCATATGTCCCCATTCCCAATTGTCAAGCAATCTTTACGTGCACGCTAATGTGCAGATTGGACCTTAGTGTTTCGTCCAATCCCAGTGACTATACATTGTCCCTTGCCAGGCCCTCTGTCCTGTACCAGTGACAAGGCGGAACCACGCCCAAAGACGAAAACCCCTTTGATCCACTGCAGCTCCCTTATTAGTTTGTAATAATAGCTATACATTAAAATATTTTCGCATACTCGCACATCTGATGACCATCTGGCAATCTGATTAAAACACACACCCTATTTCCTTGCGTTTTTTGAGTTTACAATTTGTTTTACTTGTCTTTACTACACTAGGATCTGGAAGAGTTGTTATATAACCAGCATTCTGGTTGATGTGAGGAATTAGCAGCCAATGAAACGGAAATGAAATGAAATGAAATGGAGTTTAACGTCCTACTGTTCTGCTCCTAACCTGGGCTAATGAAGACGGGCATACGCCATACAGTGTGCTATGAGGGAAATTTTGCCCGGACAGCGGCACTACAGCCTACTCTTATAACGAATTCCAACTGCCAAGGGATCTTTTACGTGCACGCCAATGTGTACACAGGACCTCGGTTTTTCGTCCCATCCGAACGACTAGACAGCTTTCCTTGTCAGCCCCTCCGTCCTGCATCACTGACAAGGGAGAACCACGCCGGAAAATCTGGATGAACTTTCTCGGCCAATGCAGGGATCGAACCAATGAAATGGTCTGTTACGGAGGAGAGTTTTTGGCGCGAGGTGCATGGAACAGTGGGTAACCCACTAGAAACATCAATGCTGATTGGTTAATCAATCTGATGTCACAGGGTCAAAAAACAATTGTATGACCTCTGACACGGCCTTCCACTACAACCGGTCAGATCTTCATGTAGTAGATGCCATCAAAAGTATAAAAAAACCAAATCTATATTTTAATCAGATTGGACCGTTTGGAATATCAGAGCTTTTTTACATTATTTAAGCAATTCTTTTAAGAAATTATCTAATAACAATTTATGATTGATTGAAATCAATACCTGTAGTCTGATCTTGAGCTGCATGTTGAAGATAATCCAAGTGTTTAGCTAATCCAGGTAACGTCATACGTAATAAATCCCGGAATACAGCCATATCCACAGATAGAGCACGTAAATTATTGGCGAAATAACTCTCTGGTAGAACATGATCTATTAGATATACCATAACCTAAAAAAAATATACATATTAAGTTATGGTTATCAGGAAACAAAATGTACATTTTACATCATTCACATCTATGTTGTCTAAAATATCAGTCTCATTAGGCCTAATATTTTGAATTATTTTGCATATAAAAATATTTATGAGTTCAAGAGACATTGCGAGCCTTGTTTAATGATGTAATTTTCCATGGTGACAAAAAATGATACTGTCCACTGTCCCATACTTTAACATGGTAGTTTTATTTTTTTCATACTATTCTGGCCGTAGTCCATTTTCATGAGCAATTTGTTTCAGACAATAGTCCATCTTCATGAGCAATTTGTTTCTGACCGCATTCCATTTTAATGAGCAATTTGTTTCTGACCATAGTCCATTTTCATGAGCAATTTGTTTCTGACTGTAGTCGATTTTCATGAGCAATTTGTTTCTGAATGTAGTTCATTTTCATGAGCAATTTGTTTCTGACCGTATTCCATTTTCATGAGCAATTTTTTTCGGACCACAGTTCATCTTCAAGAGCAATTTGTTCATGTCAGTAAGGCCCCAGCCTTTGAATAATTTAACGTATACTCATTTGCACTTTACATTTAAAATTGGTCGAAGTGATGGATGTAAATATAACCTGTATTGAGTCAATATATATTTAAAACTGTGTCAAGTTTATATACAATCCTTTCCTACAGCAAATAAATAATGTAAGAGTTTGAAACCAAATTCACAAAGTTGAAAGATAGATGACAGAATATTTTTACCAGATATCACATTGCAATTCACGAATTAAAAGTTCAGAATCGTGAAACAAATTTAAGAGCACAAGTTTCAAAAACTTAGAAAAGCCCTTTCCATACATACAAATAATAGACAAAATTTTATAGAAACAAGATTGCGAAATAGTATATAGAATAATAAATAATTTATAAGTAATTTAAGTAAAGTCAGATCAATTATATCGCAAAGCTCTATATAAAATAAGTGAAGAGGTGCGGGTGCGGGGGGAAAAAAAAAAAAAAAAAAAAAAAAAAGTTATCCACCAAAAAAGCTATAGCTAATAATTTATTCGAAGATGTATTAAGATCGATTAGAACAAATGTAATTAAATCTCATCTAAGGATCTATTCCATATAATTGTGTCATGTGTAGCTGTGAAGCATAAGAATATTACACTTTACACCAATCTGATTAAAATACAGATCTATATTTCATTTCGTTTTTTTATACTTTCGATGGCCTACACTACATGAAGATCTGACAAGTTTAATGATAGGTCGCGTCAGAGGTCATACGAACAGCTTTTGACCCTATGACATCAGACATTTGATTAACCAATCAGCATTGATGTTACTGGTGGATTACCCACAGTCCCGTGCAAAAAACGCCTAAAGCTCGCCGTAACAGTCCGTTTCATTGGCTTATCATTCACATCATTCAGAGCATGTCAATGATAACAATTACTCTTCCAGATCCTAGTGTAGTAAAGACAAGTAAAACAAAATTTTGAACTATAAAAACGAAACGAAATAGGATCTGTGTTTTAATCAGATTGACTTTACAAAAGTGCTAATTACTAATCAAAAGTGCTAATTACTAATCAAAAGTGCTAATATTCCCTGATATCTACATTTTGTACATGTATATTATGTACTATAATACAGAGAGAGGAAGAAATAAGGTTTAACGTCCACTTGACACCAACTAGGTCATTTTTATTTTATTAATTCGCTTGCGCATAGGGGTCTTAACAATTGGAGGAAACCAGAGGACCCCTAGAAAACCCACGAGGTTGGACAGATAACACTACTCCTTGCTACGTACAAGCGGGTAATTGAAACTACCCACTTGACTCAATGACAGACTTTATGATCCAACGTGTACCAGTTAACCATTCGACCACCCAACCCCTGAAATAGGTGCTAGCAAGAATGACAAATGACACCAACATTATTTTAGTCTCTATCATCCAGAAAAATATTCTACGAATATTAGTCTGGATGGGTTGTCAACATTTGAGAAAAATTGGCTAGATAATCCGGTCTATTACATTGTCATAAACAACGTCTAAGGGAGGTAACTCCTTTTAAACAAGATTTTTACGCCCATGAAATTAATTTAAGAATGTCATTTCAAAAAGTCCATGTGATTGCATGCGAGTTCAATATCTAACACTCTTAATTTTTTATTGTAAAATTTCTCTCTTCATGGGCCATATCTATGCTTTGAAAATTAATCCTAATTCGTCGTCACGATTCATGTTTGTTTATATTATTAATGCAAGAATTATGGGATTTATTGTGGGAAGGGGCGCAACTCTTACTTGACTTGGCTAAAGAGACTGGATAATCAACCACATTAAAAACCAAACTCCCGGTTATGCATGGGCAATGGACTTTACATCAAATATTGACAACTTTCCCAGACCCTCCGTATGTTGAAGACTAGGAGGTTCTTGGTGACCGAGACTAACATTATTTTGGCAGATGCTAATGATGATGTATTAACTTAATTGGAGGGCTGGTGGGGAGGGGGCTAATAAACGTTAAGAAGCTTACTGTTCGATAATAACAGCAATGCATCAATGTCATAATACTCTTTAATTCTTTAAGACAAGAAAACAGCAAAAACTGTACAAGTCTTGTCATTGCATAATATAAATGTGATATATGGGTTCCTTTTACCTCGTATATTATATCCGATTTTCAAAGATAAAAGACTACGATCATCATTTGTATTTTTCAGACATCATTTTCATGACTTAACGTCAAATATACACAAATTGATTGTTTAACAATTACAGATACTTTGATGTGTGATTTGATGGTATATTTAGACTAAAAAACATATTTAAATTAATTAAAGATACATTATGGGAGATTAGATAATGAGTTGGCAGTTCTCACTATGATAGTTAAAAACTAGATAATGTAAAGGCAATTTGCTGAAAATTTCATTCAAATTGATCCACTATGAACCCAGAATTAAGCGATTGAAATTTCCACCTAGCCTCGATCATCATTACTAAAGTCAGTTCAATAAACAGCATAGTCTCGATTATCCATTTAATCATTAAATTGTGAAGGAAAGTTATGCAGTAAATCGGCTCATAATCCACTAAGATCGCAGGCTAGTGATGCCATCGAGAGTTGAATATGGTCTGGATAGGTTAATTAATGTCTAATTAATAATTCAGATAACATTTCATACCTAAAGAAAGACCTGCAATAGACAGATTTAGCTCTTGCATGCCATAATGTATGTTTCTATAGCTATAAATAAACTGTTGTAGTTAGATGCCATGGTTGTCATGTGGAAGGGTTCATTTTTCAGAATGTATTTTTCATTACTTACTGTCCATTTACCATCATATTGAGGCCTAAGTAAATATTATTTTCTGTCAACATCTTTTTCCGCCATTTAATTGCAGAGTCTTTTGTACCGTGATACCCCTCAATGTTCCCAAAACCGCCTAACCATTTGATCAAAAAATAACAACCAGACAACAGTCGGGTTGCCAGTTAGTGATACCCTGACATTTTTGCCCAGTGCTTGCCCCATGGCTGTTTTTCGGATAATTCAGTATTTTTCTAGTAAGGTTGGATGTCTTTCCTTTCCGTATATACCAAATTTGCCATACCTTATTGGAAATAACCACCCGATAAATACTTTCGGGACAATGTATCTTTAAATTATAAGACGTATGAAACGTATCAATATCAGCGATAGTCTCCTGACTCCGGGATTCAATCAGATTAAAAAGAAATAAATATAAATAATGATGATTGGCTTGTCATGCAGACAATAACGTTTGTATAATGTGGTGTACTGTTCCTAGTTTTAAATAAAATGACATGGGGATTGATGTACTACTTTTCTGCATGTAGCAAGATAATGAAGACAAGTTTACATCATGCATGGTGTAATGAGGGAAATTTTGCCTGGACAGTGGCGCTATGATCTACTCTAATTTCGAAATCCAACTACCAAGGTATCTATTACGTGCACAGTACCATAGTTTGTTTTTTTTTGTTCCATCCAAACAATTAGATGTGTTCCTTGCCAGGTCCTCTGTCTCGCACAACTGACCAGGGTAAACCACGCCAGAAACTCCAAAAGAACATTCTCAGAAAACTCTGGGATCTCCGGGATAGCAAAGCAGCACTGAGCCACTGCGGCCCTCAAATTCCACACAAAAACAAACCCTAATACATACCTTTAATGCATCATCTTCTTTTCTATCCATAACATCTAATAATAGAGCTGCTATAATATTAAAACCCTGACAATATCCTACACGTTTATTCCACCTTGCGTACGCTAATAATACTCTCTTTAATACTGCTCGATCTTCTTCGTTATCATGACCACTAAAACTTGTACATCCAGTCCTATGTAAATCCTAAAATAAATCATAGCAAACAAAAAGTTTTACATTTATACTTAAAGGCAGTTTTTCAAGAGAAAGAGAGAGAAATGTTTTTTTTTAAAATGTCCACTCTGCACAAACTAGGTAATTTTAGGACTAACATATGATTCAAATTTGCTTGCGTGTAGGGGTCTTTAACAGTGCAAGGAAACCAGAAGACCCAAAGAAAACCCATGTGGTTGGACAGCCGACCCTACACCTAGTCACGTACAATCGAAATTACATCACTTGACTGGATGACCGACCTTCTGATCCAATGCGCACGCGTTAACCATTTGGCCATCCATTTTTTATAGATTAAATCTCAACATTTAATTATGAAAACAATAACAAAATACCAACGGTAATCTCTCGGCTTGAATTAATTTTTACCTAACAATCAAATGATGATCCATGACTTTGATGGTATCTTATCTTAGAACTATTTAGAATTTAATTAAAGGCATATGCAGACTTTTATTTTTAAAAAAGCAGCCATATTAGCAACTGCGTTGATTTAAAAATTATTCCAAATGGTCAATCCTATCTATAGGAAGTTATAGCCATTTAAAGTTGCCATTAAATGTCATCTTCTTGTTTTTATTATTAACCAATGTCTGAATAATATTTTATTTCTATCCACAAAGCTCAAGTTCAAGATGACATCTAACCTATGTTTTTTTGTTTTTTTTAATCATTGACTTGAGATTACAATCTAAAAATACACTAAGTCCTTATTTTTGTTCAACTTGATTATTCCCTGTCTGGCACAGCAGGTCTTTAAGCTTGGATTACATTTGACCAATAGGAATTTATTTCTGGCGGATTAGATTCATCACGGCATAAAAAAATATAATCAGATAAAAAAAAAAAACGTGACTTTTGTTCAATTGGAATTACTAATACTTTACGGGCAGAATAGGTTAGCTCAACAATTGCTTATAACAAAACAAAAATGGTCAATGAAGAAAGCACATAATTTTTGGTTACGGTTATTACCACACTGATCAACAGTGAATATTCGCTAGGCCGTGACAATCACTGATAAGGATGACATCAATGCAACTTAATGAGCCACAAATATTAAATTTTTTTCCTCCGACAAATTAATTTCTTCAACATATTTTTTATGTATTAGAAAAAAAAAATAAAGACGTTTGACATATTTGTAGGTAAATATTATTTCCTATTAAGTGTGAATGGGTATTAAAATGAGTAAAAGACTCCATTCCGCCCAAACTAGTAACGTCTTATGTAAACAATGCACACGCCGTTGTGCCAATGATTGACGCCGCGTGACGAGATGCCACGTGTTGAAGGTAGTCATCTTTTACAGAGATATTAGAAGACATTCGTAATCCTCTGTGAAACAGATTGGGTAATTATAAGTAATTTTACTAATGTACTAACTGTTCACTTAGACGATATTTCGATATGTACAAGCATTTTTACTTTGAGATGATTAAAGATTTATAATTCTTTTGTCAGTTTTTTTTCCTTGTCCACCAACTAACAATTTCAACTCTAATTTCTAGTCAGACCTGATGGATTATGTTCTATAATATAGCAGAAATCTATATTTTAAAAGGTCATCTCTATCTGTTTTATTTACATTCCTTGTTACTCTAAAACCTAACGCAACTTGATTAAAAATACTCTACTTAAAGTCGCAATACTGTTACAAATCAATATCACCGTACTCTAACCACGTCTAATCTTTTTGAAGTGTAAAACTCTGGGATGTGTGTAAAGATTGTCGGATTACCCGATAATTTTATTAAATCAGAAGCTCTGAGACAATATTTCTGCTTATTTATGTGTATAGGAATAAAGTCGGGTGTGGCCAAAAGGTCCTTACTCCTCCTCTGGACATGCGTCTAAAACTACAATATATTATTATGGCCATCTACAGCCTACCGGTACTCTATCCCATCCCAAAACCTGGGAGGTTGGGAGATCTAGTGGTTTAACGTGTGCGCATGAAATCATAAGATCTGTTTGAGTCAAGTGGCGATTTTCTACGGGCCCTCCGGTTTCCTCCCACTGCATGCAAGCAAATTATTGAAATAAAAATCATAGTCTCGATTATCCATGTTTGGAATAAATCATCAATGAGCTTTAAGCAGCAAATCAGATTCAAATACAGTAAATTAATAATTTAGATAAAATTTCAGACCTAAAGAAAGACCTGCAATAGGCAGATTTAGCTCTTGCATTATGTATGTTTAAGCTGTCATAATTAATAAATTAATATGCATATTTAGTAATTACATGTAGTAAGATTAAAGACTGATTAATGACAGTGCAAGCTATTCCAACTGATCTTAGTTTATTGTCTCTTTAAAAGCACTTCTAGTTGAAAGCTTTGAATAAGATCAATAATGTCTACTACAAAAAATATCTGATCACTATTACCATATATCAGTCAATGGATTGACAGGTATAATAATTGAATTATTTAATAGCCTATTGATAAGCCACAACCCTTTATATTAATTACAGTAAACTTCTACGATATGAGAACAGGAATGAGATTTTATAACGGCAATCTAATTAAAACACAGTATCCTATTTCTTTCCGTTTTGTACATCTTTACTTATCTTTACTACACTAGGATCTGGAAGAGTTCTTATATTACCGGCGTGTTGGTTGAAGTGAGGGATAAGCCAATGAAACGGTCTGTTACGGCAACTTTTTGGCGTGCCATGCACGGAACTGTGGGTAAACCACTAGAAACGTCAAACTCCTTACACCTGATATTGAGACGAGCATTTTTCTTCACAAGTCCAATAATAGAGAGATTAATTTTACCAGGCCTGCAGACTTAAGTTAAGAATTTACTCAACTTTCAATCACTGTTTATGAGAAATATCTTTTATCCACAAACACAAAACTTTGTTCTTATTGATGTATTTGATACAATAAAACTGAAAAAGTTTTATACAGGGATTTATTTTAGTTAAAATAAGGCGAACAATTTGGAGTAAATTGTTAAATTAAAGGAGCTAAATCGCAAATATTTTGGACCTAGAAATTGGCACAAATGGGTCGCAACACATATAATAATGTAATATTACAATATGAATTTATTTAAACTGTTTTACATTCAATCGTGTCCGTTTTACTGTGAATTGTCATCAGTTAGGTTCGGTGAAATACGCCAGAAGTCTTTACCGCAAGTCAGTTTCTAGCGTCTGGTTATTCCAGTCTGACATCATAGGGTCATAAGTCAGTCTTTTGACCCCTGACGTGACCTATCGCTATAACTTTTCAGATCTTCATGTAGTGTAGGCCATCGAAAGTATAAAAAAAAATGAAAAGAAATATAGATCTGTATTATAATCAGATTGGCATTTCTGCTTACTCTTACTCAAATTTAAACTGTTAGGGATTTTCTTACGTGCACAAAATGTGTACACAAGACCTCCGTTCTTTGTCTAATCCATTCTGCAACATCATCAAGGGGAAGACCTTACCTCCGACATATCAGACAGAATGGTGAGATGTATTGTCATAATAATTGACATAATTATATAATAACTACAGTATAGACATATTTATTGATATCCATACATCTTTACTTGACAAATCAATTTGGACGACAATGTCATAATGCCAGACGTTAAAATATTCAATACATTCCCAGCACATCATCTTTGATATTTAATGAAAATGTCAAGACCTCCAGCCCTATTGTTGGTTCATTTGTTTGCTGAACTTTGTCATATAGTGAGAATTAATCCTCTTTATAAAATGTCTACTACAACCATGACAAGAGCTTGATTAAAAATTGATTTTTTTTAATGTTTTTGAATTTTGGTTAATTAAAACTTTGGTGTGTATAAATAAGCTATGTCTGACTTAAAAAAACATGAACCGAACATTGGTGGAAACTTGAAAGACAGCATGCTGTCGATGACTTATAATTTATCGTCAGTGTTTAAATTTTACTTCACTTACATATTAAGAAAGAATTACAGTCACACACACACCAAAAATATCACCAAATCCCAGATGAAGATAAACCAGGTGCTATGTCCCCACTTTAACTAAAACAATGGGGCCCAAATGTTGTTAGGGGAGAATCTAGGGTCAATTTGTGTGCCTAAATTCTATGCAGACAAAATTCAAGGATATATGTTTACTCTTTATTACCAAACTTTGCTTTTATAAGAAAACACAGATACATGGTTCAAGTCTGCCTCAAATCTCATTTAAATATACTATACTATGCACTAAATCACTCTTTTTGCTGTGACCCAAGGTGCTCTATCGGCAGGTAGCCTGCGGCCCCCAGATCCCCACTCAATCAGCTAGGACTTAACCTCCCAAAATTATTTTTTGATCAGAACCTCTCCAAATTTCTTTGGGATCAGAACCTCTCCAAATTGTCTCGATTTTCATCAATAAACTTAAAGCATGGAGCACAATTAAAGTGATATCTTTATAGCATTTAGAAAGTAGAGTTCCTTGTACTATTTTATCAGTATGTCTGCGCTTGAATTTTCAATAATTAGGTAAATCTAGGGTTAATTCATTCTCGGTATCCCCAGTGGTCTTATTCCGTGCCTCTTCACTAACCCCTGGTTTCATCCATGGGGGAGACATGTATTCAAATTATCTGCCCTTGCTGACTATGCTATTTTTATCGACCAATCAAAAAAAGGGAAGTAAGTCTCATCTTGTTGCAACATCTGTGCTCTCTGTGCTCCCCCCTTCCGAACTCTGACGACATTGCATACCGGTACATGTTTCAGTTCGAAGTCAATGAACTTAATGAAGATCAACAGTTCTCCTTTTAGACCTTTAGACTAACCTGAATTTTTTTCGTAGGGCTATAAGTACATGAGATAAAATGATCTAGTCTATAAATAAACACTGTAATGACTGTACTAACCTTGACGATCTGTAAACCAAGTTTATTATCGTCTGGGTTGCTTTTTTCATTAAAAGCAAATCGAACTGTTTTCTCCCAATCAATACGCAAGTCTTTAATATGATTATCTGCGAGACTTAACCAAACCTAATAAAATAAAAGCAAATCACATTTACACTTAAAAGTATAGGGCATAAAAAAAAGAATATCAAAAGTATTCATCTAGTTCAATGGCTATAAATAAAGTTGCAGACTCAGTGCATACACATAATCCATGTTGTGACAAAAAGCCAAACAGATAAGAAATGGGGTTTGATGTCCTACTGTTCTGCTTCGATTGGGTTAATGAAGACAGGCATACCCCATACAGTGTGCTATGAGGGAAATTTTGCCTCGACAGCACTACGACCTACTCTTACATCGAATTCAAACTGGGATTTTTTGTACCACCAGGGCTGGATTTACCATTAAGCAAAATAAACACATGCTTGGAGCATCAAGGGAAGAGGGGGCACCACACAAATTTGCCATTGTCGGAACTACATTGCATCACCATACGTTGCAAAATTACAAATGGCCTGGTTCTCGATAAGCCCCTCGGTTGAAGTATATTAAAAATCCTAACAGAACGACTGGATAACACGTAAATATGGTACGTAAAATGAGCTTGGAGGATCTGGTCAAAATCTTTGCAATTAAAAAAAAGTAGGAGAAATTTTGCAATTAATAAACATTATTTTCAATCTTGATGTTAATTTGATTAAATCAAAAAAAACAAAAAAAAACTCTCTTATTTTATGGTTTATCACTGTATTAAATATATTATAGGGGCACTAAAATCTTTTAAGTGCTTAGAACCGGCCCTGTATACCACCCAGGTTTTGACAAATGCTAGCCAGATAATATTAGGACTATCAATAAGGTTTTGGTGCGTTTGTATTTCATGCAATGAATCCAAGAATATAAAATGTGTACAACTACATGTAGCCTATCTCTACCTTTTTGTATAAAAATTATTCTCTAGATTTCCATGAATTAATATATTTTATTCCATATTCTATTACTTGATTCATATCATTATTGTAGCATCCCTATATCATTTCATATTCTATTACTTGATTCATCATTATTGTAGCATCCCTATATCATATTTCCATGTAAATACTACTAAGTCTTCTTGTTATTTATGTATAATTTATAATATTTATACCCATGCATCATAATTGTATTGAATGCTGTGCCATTATCAGACCTGTTTGAGGTAAATGTGTACATTACATACTGTTGTCCTGTTAGTAAATCTATATTATAAGCTAGATTGAAACTACTGATGTCTTATTTGTAAATATTATTTGTCATATTGTTATAAATATATGTACATGTTTATATTGTATGCTTTCCTAAATGGATGTTTCAATACAATAAAATCTTATCTGTCATCATTATTTAACTATGATAGGTTGAAACCTTTTCCCCAATTTGTGTTTTACTACACAACGCTTCTTTCACAAAAATCTAATTCTGGCAAGGTTGACAATGGTAACCCTCATTCTGGAACTCAACTTGAGTACCCTTTCCGACATATAGAGAGAAATGGGGTTTAACATCCACTCGACACAAACTAGGTCATTTCGGGACTAACATATGGTTTAATTTTATTTCAATAATTCGCTTGGGCATATGGGTCTTTATCAGTGGGAGGAAACCGGAGGACCCGGAGAAAACCCACGAGGTTGGACAGGCAACCCTACTCCTTGTCACGTACAACCGGGGATTCTTTCCGACATGTAAGTATAGAACTAATTGATTAATAATTGAATAATAATTACTCAAGTTCCAGTTGCCAACCAATATAAATTAGCCTGAAGCCTAATGAGAGGAAAATCCTTGTTATGTTAAACATGCATTATGCAAGAGCAAAATCTGCTTATTACAGGTCTTTCCTTAGGCCTGAAATGTTATCTAAATTATCAATTAGACATTTATTAACTTATCCAGACCATAATAAACTCTCAATGTCAAGGCTAGCCTTCGATGTGGGCTGGATTAGATTCCTATATGCTGCTAACGGCCAAAGATAATTAAATCAGAAAAAGTGGATAATTGAGACTATGCTGTTTATATTAATGATTTTAGTAATGATAACCAAGACTATGCAAAAATTTCACCGGCTTCTTTCTCGGCTCATAGTGGATCGATTTGACTGAAATTTTCATAAAATTACCTTTACACTATCTAGTTTTTAACTATTATAGTGAGAATTACCATCTCTTTATCTTATCTCCCATAATGTATCTTTAATTATAATCTAATTGTCAGTATATGAGACATTGATCTAATAAAGATTACAAAGTTACGGTTTCTTGGAAATAATTCACAAACAGCTGTATATTAAATACTCATTAAGTTAATACAGCTTAAGTTCAGCCAGGAACATAACCGGAGAGATGGTCAGTCATATGTCCACTTATAATCTGATTCTTGGACATCGTGTACTGTCCTCTCTCTACATGAATAAAGCAATGAAATGGAATATTGTTGACACATCAGCACCATATGGTATATGGTGATCACAACGAGACAACTCTCGAGTCTCCACATGAACACTTGACCTTAGATTGTAATGTGGTTATTGAACCAGAATGTACACAATGTAGTTATAATAGAAGTTTAATCAGCGGTCTGGTATTGTAGATATTAACAACCCCTCATCCCAATGTTTTATCGTCTACAGTACATCTGAGGGCAGACAGAGAGAGAGAGAGAGATAAATGGGGCTTAACGTCCACTTGACACAGACCAGGTCATTTCGGGACTAACATATGGTTCATTTTTATTTCAATAATTCACTTGTGCGTAGGGGTCTTTAGCAGTGGGGGAAAACTGGAGAACCCGGAGAAAACCGACGAGGTTGGACAGGTGACCCTACTCCTTGTCACATACAACCGGGGAATCGAAACCATGGCAGTTGACTCAATGACAGACCTTATGATAAAGCGCTCACATGCTAACCATTCGGCCATCCACCTCTACACCCCTCCCCTGAGGGCAGACAACTAAGTGTTCTCGTTTAACCCCAACCTGAACCCAATGCTATAGCACTGGTGTGGGACTGATATCATTATACATGAATAACAGACCTTAAGATCTACAGCATAACTGAGCTTAAAATTAATCTATTATTGAATAAAAAATGGTAGGCCTATTTATTTTGTTTTCATTACTGAAATTTGGCCTAAAAAATTGTCAAATAATTTTCAAGGATTTTCTATAGGATCAGGAATCAGATATATTGGTCTGTGTGAATCTTTAAGCAAATCACAGGCGGTTTTATCAAGTTTCTGGGCTAGCATTGATTTCTACTCTTAGACAGCATATTTCACAGTTGAATAATCACATCAAATAAGAAATTAGAAAAAAGTGAATAAATGTGGTATTATGTAAAAACTATATATACAGCAATTTTACCAATTTCAAATTAATACCACACGATTGATGGTCTTGTAATATTTTTGATGAAAATAATATGACATTCAGTAATATATTTCTTCTCAATTTGCATTTACATTTGATATTAAACATTAACTAATGACTAGTAATGTACAGTAGGTGAAATGAAATGGGGTTTAATGTCCTACTGTTCTGCTCCGACTGGGCTAATGAAGATGGGCATATATGGCAGACAATGTGCTATGAGGAAAATTTTGCCCGGACAGCGGCGATACGGTCTACTCTTATTTCAAATTCCAACTGTCAAGGGATCTTTTATGTGCATGCCAATCTGTACATCAGACCTCAGTTTTTTGTACCATCCAAACAACTATACGCTGTCCCTCATCAAGCCCTCTGTCCTGCACCCCTGACAGGGGGGAACCATGCCAGAAAATCCTGATGAACTTTCTCAGCCAATATAAGTGTAGGCTGTAGCACAGTATTGTGGGGAAAATTCCCCTCATAGCACACTGTATGGTGTATGCCCGTCTTCATTAGCCCAGTAGGAGCAGAACAGTAGGACGCTAAACCCCATTTCATTTCATTTTATTTCATTTATGCGTTATGAATTTAAATCCTGTAAAATTATAATTTCATGCAAACAAAAGATCCTTTTAAATGAGCTAAATCGCTAACATTTGGGACTTAGAAATTGACACAAGTGGGTCGGAACTCATATAATACTGTAATATGAATGTATATAAACTGATATACATTCAATGGTTTCCGTTTTTACTCTAATTTCAAATCAGTTATGTTCCGCGAAATAAGCCAGCAGTCTCAATCGAATGCAATTTTCTAGCGCCTGGTTATTCCAGTCTACATACGCCGTTTGGTTTGGTGCAATATGTCTAGCCTCGTTCCTCGAGTCTCTTGCTAGAACTGGGGCTGAAACGCATTATGGTACACGATTTGTCTTAAATATTGGATATCAGAAGCCCATCGTTTTCCGGTAAGATCACAGCATCAATGTTGATTTAAATTGACAAATAATTTGTGTTTTCAATGTTGAAGATTTTGGAGGATATTAAGTTAGAGACTTAGCTACTTTAATTAAACTTACCTTTTTGCGGAAATCTCCTGGTATACCCATAGGAAGTCGTGCCACTGCTTTCATTGCATCTTTCCATTGGTCAAAGGCGTTATCACTTTGTAATGGTTCTATGCTAAATCTCATTCTGGTGTCTATTCCTGGAAACATATAAAAATAAGATTTTATGATTGGTCAATTGCAAGTATTAAAGTTTTTAACTGCAGATTAATACACCATAAACTGTACACAAAACCACTTAGTTCCACCTATTTCGAAAGCGCTGATACTTTAGAACAAACGTCAAATGTAGACTTTGATAGTCCGGTCAGACCCTGCATAATAGTCTTCACACAAAACATCTTGACTCATACGGTATGTATATTTAAAAAATCAGGCAAGCCTAACCTACATCAGGACCATCACAAGTTCACATTCCTCTTCTACTGATTGTCCTCCTAAAAACTGGTCAGTTGACCCATTTCTATCCATGAATATGTTATCTAACCTATGGGGATTCTCCAGTTTGATAAGCGTCATCAACATTAAATAATGGAGATTCTGCAGTTTGATAAGCCTCATCAACTTTAAATAATAGAGATTATCCAGTTTGATAATCCTCATCAACTTTAAATAATGGAGATACTCCAGTTTGATAAGCCTCATCAACTTTAAATAATGGGGATTCTCCAGTTTGATAAGCCTAATCAACTTTAAATAATGGAGATAGTCCAGTTTGATAAGCCTCATCAACTTTATATAACTTGGAGATTATCCAGTTTGATAAGCCTCATCAACTTTAAATAACAGGAGATACTCCAGTTTGATAAGCCTAATCAACTTTAAATAATGGAGATACTCCAGTTTGATAAGCCTCATCAACTTTAAATAACTTGGAGATTATCCAGTTTGATAAGCCTAATCAACTTTAAATAATGGGGATTCTCCACTTTGATAAGCCTTGAGCATCAACTTTAAATAATGAAGATTCCCAAGTTTAAAGGAGGTAAGTCTCTAACTCAATATCATCCAGTCTTTGCCATGGTCAATTTAAATCAACACTGATGTTGTTATCTTACCATGAAAAGATGAGCTTCTGGTATCTAATATTTATAAGACAAAATAAACATTTTAAAATTGGCACATGATTCACATGCTAAAATGTTTTCAAGGGTCATTTGTAATGAAGCAACTCGATCGATGGGGTTAAACATATCAAACTCACAGGGGAATACTACCGGTGTAGACTGGAATAACCAGGCATCAAAGACTGCCTTTCAATTTGGACACTTCGCATATTTCAACCCGAACATAACTGATTAGAAATTACAGTAAAAACATAAACAACTGAATGTAAATTAGTTTATATACATTCATATTACATTGGTTGCGACCCTTCTACATGTAGGTGCCAAAGAACAGAAATGAAATGGGGTTTAACATCCTACGTCCTACTGGGCTAATGAAGACGGGCATACGTGATACAGTGTGCTATGAGGGAAATTTTGCCCAGACAGTGGCACTACAGCCTACTCTTATATCGAATTCCAACTGTCAAGGGATCTTTTATGTGCATGTCAATGCGTAAATGGGACCTTGGTTTTTCATCCCATCCGAATGACTAGACAACTGTCCTTGTCAGGCTCTCCGACCTGCATCACTGACAAGGGGGAACCATGCCGGAAAATCTGGATGAACTTTCTCAGCCAAAGCAGGGATCGAACACCCGACCTCCTGGCAAGCGTCTTACCCACAGCCACCGTGATCCCCCAAAAGAATAGTGATTTAGCTGCTTTAATAAGCCTCAGGATGCAGATAATGATGTATCTTTAAATATTGGAGTTTCTCCAATGTGACATAATAATAATGAGCTGCTGATACAATTATAAAAATTTCAGTCTGATGTAATCCATCATGCACATCATTTTAATTAACGCTAATTGGGTCTTTAGTCTTTACATAACAGCACTGGATGAAATAAGACAGCGCCAAGGAGTCTGCAGGAGATTATAATTCTATGGTAAATTCTCTCTAAGTTATAGACTTATTAGTGTTAATGGAAATCTACAGAAGCAATCATTTGAACATGGGTGATCAGATTTGCGATATTGTCCAGACGATGGACTCACAATAGTAATATTTAGAACAGCTAGCACTGTGGAATATTGATGAAAATCAAGAGAGAAATGCCTACATTAAAAGTCTCCAGTTCTCTGACCTCAAAATTCACTTGTTTAAAGTCCAGAGAGAGAGAGAGAGAGAGAGAGAGAGAGAGAGTTTACAATCCACTTGAAACAAGCTAGGTCATTTCGAAAATAACATTATGGTACAATTTTATTTCAATGATTTCTTTGCCGATACAAGTAGTGGTCTTCAGCAAAAGGAAAATGGAGGATAAAACCAACAAGATGTCAAACCTTGTGTACTCAGAGGGTAAAACTTGATATACATGCAGAAAAAAATAACAATCAAAGTTGTAACTATAGATATATACATTTTTAATGATAAAGTGTATGAGCCTATCGCTGGCCTCTGCCAATCTAATAAATCAAACATGTTTGAAGTTTATTCCACAAGGTTTTCTTTCCAGAAAACATCAATATGTGGTCTGCAATTTACATCATTATCTTGCTTACAAGTCTGATTATAATTGAATAGTCCTGATCGCGAGAGAGAGAGAGAGAGAGAGAATGGGGTTTAACTCCACTCCACACAAACGAGGTCATTTCAGGACTAACTCATGGTTTAATTTTATTTCTATAATTTGCTTGCGCGTACGGGTATTTAGCAGTGGGAGGAAACCGGAGGAACCAGAGAAAACCCACAAGGTTGGACAGGTGACCCTACTCCTTGTCCCGTACAACCGGGAATTCGAAACCATGCCATTTGACTCAATGACAGACCTTATGATACAGCACGCACGTGCTAACCATTCGGCCATCCAAACCCCCTAGTCCTGATCGCACTAATGCTTCTAACCAAAACAGTGATTTCACTTCGATTCACATCCACTCAACACAAACCTAGTCATTTAGAGACTAACATATGAATAAATTTCATCTTGATAAATCGCTTGTGCGCAGGGATGAAACTGAAGGATCCAGAGAAAATCCACGAGGTTAGACAGGCGCCCCTCGGTGGATTGAGAAAACATTTCTTATTTAACTAAATTATTAGCCATTTATATTAACTGTTATCACATCTGATGCCATTTGGTCGGGTCGGGATCAATATTCACTAGAGGCCAACTCTGTCCTAGCAGACACCATTTTGGCTGGAGTCATTGACACTAACAACGAAATAGGATAAATGTTCCATCAATACTTCATAATACAGGATTTTATGACTGGCGAATGATTATTTTTATTTACTATGATTTATGTGCAATGCGAATACGAAGAATTTTGCCATGTGGCCCTAGCAAATGAAGTGCACTTTCCTTTCACGTCCAGGATCATATAACCAAGCATTTCAAAGCAATGCTTGTAGAATATATTTTCATAATTTTCATTCATAAAATGTAATCATTTTATTACATACTGAATATTGTCATCTATGTTCTAAATTAAATGTAGACCATAAAAGTAAAGGCTACATTCAGACACTAATCTCCTACACTTATTTCAATATAATCAAATGTATTCATTGTTTTAATCTTTTACAAACAGGGGCCCGTTTCACGAAATTTAAACTAAGATAAAATCCAAATTTTAGTAATTTGATTGGATAATATTAGATTGATTTTAGTGCTTAGCCAATCACAATTGAAGTATCTACTAAAATTTGGATTTTATCCTTAGTTAAGATTTCGGGAAACAGGGCCCAGAAGTTTTATTGCATAGTTTAAATTTAAGGATTTAATATTTAATTAAGCTTCTTCTACACCTTTAGGTATTGTCTTATAATTAACATATTTTTATTTGGTATTAGGGCAACATTTTAATGACCTTTTATTGCTGGTCAATTAAATTCATATCCAGATTATATAGTTGTAGTTGTTCCTGATTTTATGGAAGTAACCTACTAGGTTACAATGAGCTAACACTGCTAACCCTATAACAAGTAGAAACCTGAAGTTCTTCTTGCAATATGTCAGAATCCAAAAATATCCAATATTAATCCTGAGTCATGTTACCCAACTACCACACTTCTGTAATATTTTTAGCTTCATCCAATTCATGCTTCATTACCAAACATGTCTGTGGTGAAATATAACATCAAAGATCACTGAGAAACACTCATGATTCTTGAGACTTTTTACACAGTTACACTCAATGTATAAATGTATAGAGAATCTTTAGAAAACTGACAAAATGGACCGTTTTATGTTGACTCGCCACTGGCAGAAAGTCAAACTAATCTTTCATGTGATAACAATAATTGCTTTAGATGTCATGCGACACTTTTATCATAATTGGAGAAATTTTGAATCCCTTGCAATTAATAACATTATGAAAGTTGACTCTCTTAAAGGAATATTAATTCAATTATGGTTAAATTCTGTTCACTACATGTATTTACAAAAGATGGATGAGTTAAGATGTTTATTGCATCAAAACGTCCACTAAGGATAGCGTGCATACAAGTACATTTAGAATTGAAAATTTCTCAACATTTAAGATCCTCTGCAGAGGAGATTTAATGAATGGGATATGGTCAAAACAAACCAGGACAACCGATAACCTTCGCTATAATATCATCATTTGATGGACTTCTCTTTAATCTGTATGAATCCAATTCTGGGAGATAATATATACTGCTGATATTTGTTTTCTTATTGAGTATTGGATTAAGCTGTGAAAAACTATATATAACGGTATAAACTATGTGATAGTTCAGTTTATTTATATTGAAATTGTTGATTAACATCATTTTAACATGCGATATGTGCATATTTATTGAGTAATATTATATGATTTAAAAACAATTTGGAACCCGATCCACTCAGACAACATTCATAATCATACCCAAAAGGTTTAGGCCTCTCAAGTTATGTTTCGAAGTCATTAATTCTGTCCACGCAACAGAATATCCACCTACTTGACTTCGATTTACAACTGTCAAGGGATATTGTATTTCCAGACCAATTTGATCATGGAGTGACATCAGTGTTTTTAATCATCAGGCACGCTTTCCTTGTTAGCCCTGCATGTGCCACCCC